AAGAAACCCAAAACGGCAGAGAGCGCGTCTTCCTCGACTTCCACTTCCTCAACAGTTTTGGCGAACAAGTCGGCTGCTGACAGCTCGACTAAGTTCGAGCAGGCCACCTTGCGGCCAGGTGGAGTGGAGATGAAAGTAGTACGCTTCGATCCGAATACGGAGCAAGGACAGGCTCTGGCAGATCAGCACATACGCGATGATGCTACCAGATTGAATCCCGTAACCGTGGGAGCGAGAGATGAATCCCAATATAATCGTTATTTACCGCTCAAAGTGAGTGGTGCATCCTTCCCCATCCCAGACGTACCGCAACTTAATGGTCGGAAGATCTCTAGTGTGGTTGTATTGGCACCTGTTGACTATAACTTTCAAGAAGATAAAGAGATCGAATCGAGACAAGGTAGGAGGGTGAGCGATGTCCAAGCAGTCAAGTTTCTCGCTGGTGACACTCTGAAGCAGCTGGTGAAAAAACCAACTGCGGAGAATTACAAGAAGTGGTTGGAACAGGAGAGCCGTACGGAACCGCAGAAACAGTCAGTGGTACTATTGGTAACCACGTAAGTGATAAATGCAAATTCGATGCCATAACTAACCACGCTTACTTACTCCGTTCACCTTCATTAACTCTTTCAATCGCTTCAAATGATGCGTGCAATTATTCTGTAACGAACCATATTTTCTTCCATCTCATAAATGTTCCTTTCGATCCACTTCCGTGAACGTTTTCCAGTTAATAACTATTGAAATCACCGAGCTTCGCTTTCTTTCGATTTTCAAATAATATTTAATGATGTTATAGGCCAAAAGATACGGAGCAAGGTGAGAAAGAGATCTTCATGTATGATGTTGTCTCGCAAACTGTGAGCAAACTTGCTGGAGATTTGTCCACAGCGTTTGTAGATGCTGCCGAAAGTAATTCAGACAATACCGATTCTCTCACCGATTCAACTTTTTCGTCATATTAAGTGCTACGTGAATGAATAATACAAAAGATGAGATCTACTTAATAAATAAGAAAAGAAAAAAGGTTTACCGTGCCAAGTCCGAAAATAAAAACTTCTGTCATCTCGTATAATTTAAGATTACAACGAAATCGAAACAAATTTATAAAAGGTAAAGAACATAAAAATACAAATATCCTTGTAGATACTTTAAATGTATTATTATGTATATATTGATTTTATACTTTTTTATATGAAATAAACGCAATATTTTTTTTACATGAAAATCCTTTGCTATCTTACCTAATATGAATTTTTAAAAATTTCAAAATAGTTTTAATCAGGAATATATCATTTGTTAATTCAAATTAATTTAGATATTAAGAAATTAGTTATAACTTTAATTAAATTCAACAAGCGCAATTTAAATTTATTGCTTTTGATAAAATAAAAACAATTACTTATATAAACTTCTATAAATAATAATATCTTTTATTGATAATTTCGTTTTTTCAATTTCATCAATTTCAAGTTTTAGAATTAACATTATTTATTTATAAAAAAATTAACGATCTTTTAACGATCTTTAACGATAATTTAATTAATAATGTTATATATATTTTTAGTACTTTAAAATTTTTGAATAAAATAATTAATTTTTAATTGTATATTATATTTTTATAATAATTACGATTTTTAAAAGTATATTATTATGTATTTACGTAAATGTAATATCTATATTTTTTATACAAAAATATTACAACACATCATTTTAAAACAAAAATGATAGAATATTATCGTATATATATTATTAAAATCAAATATACATAGACATTAAGAAAAATAATGTAAGAAATAGCGTAAATATTGACTATTAATGCCATCTTTTGAGTATCGAAGATATCAAAATCTTATCTTCTAAAAATACTCAAGAGATAGCGCTAATGATTTATTCCAATTTTATTTCTATCCTTCTTTTATTATTTACTCTCTTTGTCTTCTCGTTGTTTCATTTGCGGCACTCTGAAGATGGCGCTAATTCTCTAATTTTTACCTTTTCTATCCTTCTCTTACTATTCGTTCTCTTTATCTACATTTGAGTGAGTTTTATCGATACACTAGAGATGGCGCTAATGACACGATTTTTCTATTTTTGTCCTTCTACTGTTCTTGTCTAAATTTGTTTTACAAAATTATTTTATTTGTCAAAATTATTGATTAAATATCTTAATATAATCGATTCAATTTTTGTTTTTTTCATATTTATATATCATGTAATAATATTTTATATACATTTACATATATTCACTTTTTTATGTCGTAAAGAAATGTATCAGGTTGAAAAGCAGTGTAAAGAAATTATTTTTAAAATTGGTTGATTTTACCAATTTCTATGATTGAATTGAATTGTTTTATGTTGTATCTCTTATTTATTGTTCTAAAAAACATATCAAACATTTTTTGCGATATTTCAAAACGTAGGATACAAAATATCATTAAATGTAAGTCTATCCTATATTTCATCAATGCTAAAAGACTATGATATAAAATATAATATGATATATAATATGATAAATATTCTAGAATTTACTAGGGAATTATTGAAATACAACATAACAATATATAGATATATTTTATTATTTTAAATTTGGTACGCATAGTTGCGAGTACGCATGTGTTTCATTTGCCACCAATAAGGTAGTTAATATTTTTATAAAATTGAAATCTAAAATATATCTTGATATTAACTGAAAAACGTAAGAATAAACGTATAATTTTTTATGTTTGCTTATTAATAATATTTTAATTATTTCAAACTAAATGTTTTTAACATTTAGTTGTATTATTATTATTTTATAGGTTATCTTGCTCTCATATCGTTTTACATCAAAATGTTAAAAGGGTGATTTGCCAATATTCTGTTAAAGGAATTATATTATATTAAATATAAAAATGTCGAGCAGCAGTTCTGAAAGTAGTGATGATAGCCGTCATGAAAAATCTAGGAAAAGACATAAACATAAATATCCTAACCAAGAAAGACGATCGAACAGAAAGGAATTGTGCAACAAGAATAAAAGTTACAGAGATAGGAGAGAAGGTAGGGACGTTCACAAATTTAGCAGAGAAGTAAGAAGAGAAAATAATGATATACATCGTGATAGATCACAAGGCGAACGGGATAGGGCATATAGGGATAGTCGACATGATCATCCAAGGAGGGAAGATGATAGACAATATGATAGAAGAAGATATGACAGATCACCTTTAAGAAGAGAAGAATCTCGTCCAAGACACAGAGATTATGAGGAGAAAACTAAAAAGCACAGAGAATCTATGGAATATACTAAGAAACATGACAATGTAAATAAAGAAACAAGGAATAATTTTGAAGAGGTAAAAGTAAAAAAAGAACCTTCACCAGAATGGGGTAAACCTATTGTTAAAACAGAACTTAAACCAAAGCCACAAGAAAAAGAGAAACCAAATTTTGAATTATCTGGAAAATTAACAGAAGACAGAAATACTGTTAATGGTGTAATAATTAAATATTCTGAACCTCCAGATGCAAGAAAACCAAAACGTAGATGGAGATTATATCCTTTTAAAGGAGAAAAGGCATTGCCTACATTATATGTACATAGGCAATCAGCTTACCTTATGGGAAGAGACCGTAAAGTTGCTGACATTCCTTTAGATCATCCTTCATGTTCTAAGCAGCATGCTGTTTTACAATATCGTTTAGTATCTTTTCAAAAAGAAGGTGGTGGTGAAGGAAAAAGAGTTCGTCCTTACCTTATAGATCTAGAATCTGCAAATGGTACATTTGTAAATAATGTAAAATTGGAACCAAGAAGATACCATGAATTATTAGAAAGAGATGTAGTACGATTTGGATTCAGTTCTAGGGAATATGTTTTATTACATGAACATAGTAAAGATGATTCGTTAGATGATGATGTTCCCTTAACAACTACAAATGCAACTACTGTTACTACTACTGCATAGGTATTACATTTTTTAATTTATAATATTTATTAAACGTTTTATTTCTTTTAGAAGTTAAGATATTTATATATTTTATTTCAGGATTTTACTGTAAAATATTTAAGAACTTATAAAATATTTTAAATATATTATCTGAATATATAATTTACTTATTAGGACAAATTGTAAGGCTAAGTTATGATTCTCTTTAAGTAAAAAAACTATAAAAAAAATTAATCAATTCTTATATAGAATATTAATAATAATATAATATTTGTTTTATGAAATTTTTTCTTAACAAAAAAAATTGTCAGCACACAAGTTTCACATTTTATCTAATCAGGAACAAAAATTGATTGTAAGAAATCATTTTTGAAATACATTGAAATTTATTCATTTATATTTAGAAATTTATTTACCCAACTTAAATAATAAATTTTGTATGTTATATGCAATTTTATAACAGTATTTGTATATTGTATAGATATGTATATATAAAATATACAAAATTTATGTAGAAATTATTTTTTTAATATATTTTCTAATATAATTTTGTAGAAATATTTACAAAATTTGATTTTCTTACTTACAAACCACAAAATTTATAATATTATATAGACAATATATAATATTTTTTTTAAATAAAACAATTAAAAAATATAATACAAAAATTATGAAATTATTTTTTTTATTTAATTTTCAAATACTAAATAGCATTTATTGATGTTCGTATCTTAATTTATAAATTCTTTTACCAATTCTATTTTTATAAACTATTTAGTCTTTTAATGTTCTAAGTAAAGAAAATTTCAGGCTTATTCTTATTATCCTATATTTCACAATAATTCTCTGGATGGATATTTATAATATTATTTTAATACTTTCATGGAAAAAATTATTGAAATTCAAAAAATATAAATTCAAAAATTTATATTAATAAAATATTTACACTCTTTGGATTTTATTGCTAATAAAATAATAATAATGAAATTTTAAAATATAAATTTCAAAAATTATCAGTTCAGTCACATTAAATTTAATCTTGTAATTAATTGTACTATTTTAAAAAGAATCACTATATTTATATGTAAAACTTAACAAATGTTTAATGTAATATGAATATCAATTTTAATGCTATATTTTATACTATCACTAAATATGAATTTGTACAATGAACAGTGAAAATTTAATCGTACTTTTGCGTCATTAAATAAATACATTAGTTACACTAAAGTAGTATCAAAAACTATTATAGATTAATCACGTATAATACTCTATAACTATTCTCGTTTCTTAGATACTAAACAATAAATCTGATTATCTGATTATTAACTAAACCTATTACTAAAAATCTTCTGCCACAATTTATGTAAAATAAATTTCAAATATTTAAATCTAAAATATGTACATATACATTAATATGGCAGTTTAAAGCTATGGAACTTTATACATGTTTCCAGTTTTGATATAATTATCATTGAAATTATAGTTTTGTTATAGAAACATATTTTAAATGATAATATCTATTACATCTTTAACAATTTCACGATCCATTTACTCTTACAGCATCCGTATTAATGTTCGTATACGTAACTATATTGTTGCTATCTTCAACAACTGGAGTTTGTCTTAACAAATTTAATAATGCACTGTTTATCACTAAAGGTATATTAGCTTTACCATTTTGTAAATTAGAATGAGTTCTTTGAATTTTCGGTAATGTATTCTTCGCGACGTTATCAGTTGATTCACCAGTTCCTCCAATAACACAATTCTTTAATGGAAGAACATTTTGTGAACTAATTAACGATGAACTAGGTCGAGTAGGTGGTGCTAAACTAATATTCGAGCTTAAAGAACTAGAGCTTCTACCTTCTAAACTTATTTCAGATCCCCGTCGTTCAGTTACATTTCTTTTATTTTTCCGTTGATCAGTCAATGACGTAAATGAATCTCTTTTTAATATCGCTTTAATAGTAGGATTAGTTAATTTCGAACTATCTAAAGTATTACATTTCTCAGTCATATTTGTGATCGATGCCCTTTTACGTTCCGATAAATTTAAACTAGATATCGATGATCTTTTATCACATTTTTTTTCCAATTGTTCTTTAATATCATTTGAAATGATATCTTTTTGTTCTTGCGATGCATCAGAATGCAAATTACTTTTTACATCTACGTTTGTACTAGCTTTATTTGTATTGGCTAAATTTTGATCGGATATGTGAATTGATCGTGGCACTTCGTATCCGTTTGTTGAATTTTCTTTTAGAATAATATCTTCGTTATCTGCTAATAATTCTAAATATTTTGGCATTTCCCCTGATTGTGATGTAGGTGTTGCATTATGAGAATTCTGAAGGAATGGTTGCATATCTCGACTACCTTCTGAACTGCTGGATTTCCATGAATTCCCTGAGAAAATTGATCTTATTACATTCAATTTCAATAAATAATTTTGATATGAATTAACGTGAGTAGAATAGAGACATTGATCGAGAAAGCAGGATACATACAGATGAGTTTCACGAAGAGAACCTACCTGAATTGTTATGATTTTGGTTCTCGTCAGCAAAGTAAGCCATGTTAGAGACGCCTGCAAGCATGAGCCATGCAATGATAAATATATATTCAAGCAAATTGTTAAATTTATATATTGAACACTTTAATGGTGATGCATCTTGTCGAGTTGAATCATAATTATTGAACATGATTATGTAATAAACAATATGTTCATTTTATGATATATGAAAAATAAATTGAATTTTTTAAATACATTCATTTATTAGATAATTCTATTAGTCAAAAAAGCAGTTATTAGCTTATTTAGAAATTTTACTATGAAAATCGTATAGATATACGATTATATCCATAAGCAATAGGAAAGGTTTTAGTCATAAATGATTGAACATTTTTAGATGAATTTTTTTATATCATCCCCAATTCAAAATAAAAACTTTTAACTTTTAATTTTGCAAACATGTCAAAGAATTGATGCAAATGTACATCTTTAGACTGAAATGCATGTGAGGGGTGAGATAAAAAACGTAACATTGAACTTTGTAAGAACCATTCTAATAAGCGATCTGAAATCTTATAAGCTAAAATGTGTTTGTTCAATTGGCAATTAATACATTTGAAAAAAAATGTAGATTTATGTTCCATGCCAGAGAGTCATATAATGCAAATCTATATATAATAGAAACTTACCCCTTCTAGATAAGTAATAACTAGCAACTGGATTTAATTGCGCATCCTCTATAGTACTTCGAAGACTAACTATATTTTCTAGACAAACTTTAAAACTTGGTCTGGTATCAACATCACTCCAACAACGCAACATAAGTTGATGTAACGCGAGTGGACAATTCAAAGGTTTGGACAATCTTCCACCTGCACGTACATGATGCAATACTTCGATATTTGTTCTGGCAGGATACGGTTGTTGGCCCAACGACGTAATTTCCCACATTAATACACCAAATGCCCAGACATCACTCTGCGAGGTGAATACACCATCTACTAAAGATTCAGGTGCCATCCATCGAACAGGAAGTAATCCTTCTCCTTCCTATGATGGAAATTGAAATATTTATTTTATCTTTTTTTATTTTATACTAAAAATTATTAGATTAGATAGAATATTTACTTTTCGATAATAATCGTTTTTGTATATATCTCTAGCAAGTCCAAAATCACCAATCTTAACAACACGATTCTCTCGATCTTTGGCCGATACCAAACAATTTCTACACGCAAGATCTCTATGTACAAAATGAAGCTCTTCTAAGTAACGGCATCCTCTTGCTACGTCTTCACACATGGCAAGTAAATCTTGCAATCGTAACGCGTGTGAATCCGATGGTTGCAGAGATCGACTTGCCCTTAAATAACTCAATAAGTCCCCAGCCTCCATTAGTTCCAACACCAATAACGGTGGATCCGTATCTAAGCAAACTCCTAAAAGTCTGAGTACATGTTTATGTCGAAAATGACTCATGAGTCTAGCTTCCTGAAGGAATTCTGTCTTTTCTTGAGCCGAAGCTCCCTTTCGAAGCGTTTTAATTGCGACTGGTGTAATTCCTGGCCTTTCCAAATCCTTCGCATTTCCTTGAAATACCTAAAAGATTTTGATATTTACAATAATGATATAATTTTACAATCTCATGAAGTATTTATAATTTATCACTTACTTCTCCGAAAGCTCCACTACCCAAAAATTTCGCTAATGTTATTTGTTCCCTTCTAATTTTAGGAAGGGTAGAATCGTCCGAATCGTTTTGCAATGTAGACGCGTATAACGCGTTGGATTGAACGAAATTTCCACGTGGTATCTCTCGAAGTGTCGCTAATTCGACATCGCTTACTAACGGAGGTAAGACCGCCTTTTTATCTTCTTTGCGTTGTCGGTACACTGCTGGATTACAAAAAAAGAACTTATCTTTTACAGTATTGTCGATACGACTTTTTATAAATTTAAACAAGAATTATTTTAAACGTTAAAAAATATATATTTTATTTATAATTATCATACACTTACGGCAAAGGAAATAACAGGAACAAATGAGCATAATAATGATAACAGGAACGCTAAGTCCCAACACTAAGCCAAGATGTTGTTGAGCCGCTAATATCCCTCCGGTAGCTTCCGTTAAATCAATGATCGGGCTGGATCTGCTCCAACCACCGAAACCGTACGCGTTCCTAGCTTGAACTCGAAACCTGTACTTGTCATCCATGTCTCCTGTGATTATCCAGTAATTGTCTGTACCATTGTAATACAACTTCCAACTTGCGTTCCCAGTCGAGTCTATTTGCTCGTTAATCTCATTGATTTTCATCCCTTCAACACGGTATAACGTGATTTGCGAACCATGAGCTTGTGCCGGTTTCCAATTCAATTGATAAACTGAATTACGAAGTTTGGTTACCGTAGGCATACCAGGAGCACTCGGTACATCACCTATTTTCCAAGTGAATTCAAAACGATGTATCATTGTAAAGAAAGCAAGGAGGTTAAAGTTAAAATCAAAGTTTATTACCTAAAGTTTGAAACGTGAATCTTCCATCAGTTGGCCATACGAAATCCTTCTTGTAATTAGGATATCTCAGAAGTAAGTGGAATTTGTACAAAGTTCGAGGTTGCAGTTTCTTGATAAAATACGTCACTTTGTCCTTATCTACCTTGAAATCGTTTGCCACTTGCCAATCTTCCATGGCAACATCTTTATACTCTAACGTATATCTGACCATCAAGTTGATCGTTGGTATCCAAGATACGTTCAAGCTATTTACGCTAACTCCAGTTAAAGTTAAATTATTGGGTTCCGGATACATTTTAACTATTTGACTTGAACTTTCACTGTAAACATCGTTGACGTGAGTGGGATAAGCACGGACGAACACCAGATATTCTTGATCGGGTAACCACGGTTCTAACATGGTGAAGTATCTACCGTCCGTAGTACGCTCCGTACCCTTTATAAACTCTCCCTTCTGTCGTGCCCCATTTATTAATCGAACCAGTCTCCAATGCACTTCGTATCTCACTGCTGGGGCGTTTAATATTTTTGGCGGCATCCAATATACAATGGCCAAAGTTGGCGTGAGTGCTTCGACAGTGACGTTTTCTGGAGCCGTAGGTGTTCCTGCTTCGGTTTGTAATACAACACCGGAACCAAATTCTAAGCTCATCGATTCCAAATTGGCATAATAATTACTCAAAGCCAGTTTCAATCCATAATTCGTAAAAGGCTTCAAATCCTTTATTTCGTATTCTGTGTTGTAAGTTTGTAACTTTATCCTGTCGCCGTTCTCGCACATATTAGGATCATTTTCTAAACACTGAGATACGTATATCGTGTACAATGTGGTGGGTAAACTGTATCTTTCGCAACCAAATTGTGGAACAGGCTCGGGAAGTCTGACGGTAATACTGTTTGCCAATTTTTTCATTTCTTCCACATTGTAGGATACTTGATGAGGGATCAAACAGTTCGTGATCGGATAGGTTTGCAAAGATTTTCCAAGAGCTTTGATGCTTCGTACGGATGGCAAATAGAAGTGTCTGATCTCCGCGTCATCGGGATATTTTTTATTTACAAAGTAAATCTGGTCTTCCGCGATGTTGGACCAATAAATATTCATCTTATCGACCGTTAACGATTTTGGCGGTAATCCTTTATTGAAACTCGCGCTTGCTATCAAATTACATGCACAACCATCGATATCGGCGATATTTAAGTGACCTTCTAACGAAATCCAATACATGACCGGTTTCTGAAAATTGGTACTGTCGATGGTCATTACCGGACTGACAGACGGTCTGTAAGGACAGGAACAATCATCTATATAATTGAAGAACGGTTGAATGTCTCTCCCGTCTAAATTAGATTGCATTATTATCCCGCCATCTTTTTTAGTCTCTATCCAATACAATGATCTGTAATAGATTAAAACAGATTATAAAATAAACTTAAAGGACACGTTGAAAAAGATTCTGTAAAAATAGTAGCTACCCTGTGGATGGTAATATATCAAGATTTACGATACGTCTGCTCGACGTGACGATACTTTCGTACTTGAGAATTCCAACTTGCCACATGGTCAAATCTAATTTCATTATGCGTCCGCCATTTTCTTTATAACTCAACTCAGACCAGTAAAGATGCCTCGCAACCCAATCGACAGTTATGCTAAGTGCACTATTGTTTAATGACAACATTTTAGTAGCATTTGATCCATTCAAATCCGATGTTACCAGTTCCCTCATTTCGTTGATCCAATAAATCTTGCTCTCTGCAGCCAGATAAGTAACCTCGACCGCGATATGTCGAGTAATTGTATAGTTCACTTCCTGATCTAAATCGGATATTCTAACCGCGTCCATCGTAGCGACCAACAATTGTGGCACCGGATTTTCGTATATCGTGGAAATGTTGATCACGTCTGTGTACAATCCCGCGCCAATTTTCGTATGGGCTCGAACTTGAAAATAATATGTCATATTTGGCAAGAGGTCTTGAACGGTGTACTCTAACAATGTGGATGGGATAAGTGATTGATCGCAGATTTGTATCTCGACGTTGTGCTCCTTGAACCAACATTGTACCGTATACCCTGTGATCAGACCATTCGTGAACTCGGGCTGATCCCATCTGTAAACCAATCGTCAATCATTTGAAATAAATAAATTCTACTAACTACGATAAATATCTTCATCATTTACCTAAATATCGCAAATATATCAATGTTTTCGCTCAGCGGTTCTTTATGAAATTCTATAAATGCTCTGGAATTCGTTGGTTGACTCGGAACACTCTGCGGTGATCTCAATATCTTTCTCGTATGATGAGCCGTTTCCCAATACGTAAACGCTTTTACAGTGACTTCGAGAACCGAATAAGGTAAAATCTGTTCGGAATTATTGTAAGGCATCGATGTTTCCGTAGTTATCTCTGGATTTGAATTGGTGTTGATATAATCAGCAAATTTCACTTCATAAAACACAGTCCCATAATTGATATTCTCCACCGGGTCCCAGGATATATTGAAGTTTCTCCATGTTCCTTCCACTCTAATACTGTCATAATTGACGGCGTTGGGCAATACCGTTACAGTCTCGGATGTAAAGTTCTTCGGATATTGATGGAGTGCCGGATCCATGATAGCTACCATGTGAAGGCCCGACAAAGTGATACCATTTATTATAGCCGTGTTTTGGCCAGACAAATCGCCTATCACCGCATTCCGATCGTCTTGAAGCCAGAGAAGATGTTCTGAGAAGTAGCATAAAGGACCTTGCATGTTTGGATGTTGCAGAGCAGAGATCTTAAAAGATAATATCAAAGAAAAAGTATCATTATAATTCTTTCTTTTTCATAAAATTTATTTGAAATATAATTTAACGATAAAAACCTTTTCAGGCACGATTTTGTGGCTCATAGAAATCCTCTCAGACGTTGGTGCTCGATAAACAATAGATCCACTTTCGTAACTCCGAACGATCCAATAAACGAATCTGTTTTCTGTGTCCAATGTTAACCCCATCACTTGTTTTCCATTAAATATTTCATCCGAGTGATAATATCTTCTGTCCTGTCCGTTCAGACGAGCTACTTCAACAGCATGGCCTGTCGACCAATATAGATATGCTTCCAAAGAATCGATCATTAATTCTTTAACGATGGCCAAGATCGACATGGGTTCTTGATGAGATCCATTTAAATTGGCTCTTGTTATCTAAACGAGAAATATAGACGAAATATAGATGAATTAATATGGATTAAAATATCTGACTAATAAGATTAAAATATAATCATTTGATTTACAATTTGTTGCTTTGGATTAGCCCAATACAATTTTTTCGATATCCAATCGACGGCAACGCTTCCGACAGAGTGAATATTCATCTTCATCTTTTGATGACTCGTGATGTTGTAACGATACAATGCAGAATTGTTTCCTACGATGTAGAGTACATCTTTGTACCAACTGACATCAACAATATGATAATCAACCTCCACTTCTTTCAAACTCGCTTTGTATATCAAAGTATCGATATTTTCTCCGGTTACATCGCTCCTTAGGAGACCTTCGTTCGCGGACCACAATATGGACGCGTGCGATCCGTCTCTAGGAAATTAATCATAAATGAATATCGATCAAACGTATTCTTTTTTGTCAAGAAGAAGAAACAAATTTTAAATGATTTGATTAATTTTACCTCAATGTTCGACCCCTGAACTCGGTGGACCAAGGTCCTCTGCCAGCGCTCGTGTAAGCTGCCGCTTTAATCGAGTATTCTGATTTCTCTCGAAGATTATGCACAGTATGAGACGAGCCAGCGATATCTTTCTGATGGATGGTCTCTCCGGTAGACTCGTCTTTGATCTCCAATTCGTAAGACCAATTCTGCCAAGCGCCTTTCCCCTGACCGCCCAACAGATGAGGCGCTTGCCAGGAAACTTTCGCCCTCTCCACCCCCAACACAGCTTGCACGCCTGTAGGAGGATTTACGGGGACAGGAACGGGCTGGCTCGCGTCCATAAGTACATTGACACTGACAAATGAACCGTTCGATCTGGAAGGAAGAAACGTTCATTCAAGCGTTCGTATCGGCATCGACGTTGACCGAATAAGAATGAACTTTCGCACCTATCTGGATAAGCATTGTGAAAATATCTGTTTTGTCCCGAATGGTATCCTTCTATCAATACCTCTTCCCCGTTCGTCCAATAAAACAAACCGTTCGCCATAGCCAAGGAGACCACGTTCTTGAATTTCGGTTGCTGCGTATTGGCGCGAAGATTTAAAACTTCGCGACCATCCAAAGAGACAGATATTACGGTGTTTTGGATATGATGGGGAACCAATAAACGAAAGTTCGTGTGATCGACGGTGAATGCTCCTAAATCGGCGTCTTCTAGAATCAAATATGGCTGAACCTGCGAAAATTGATCTAAGGTCATTTGCAATTGAATGTTTCGATGGTGGAAGTAAATTGGTTGAACATTGGCAGATAGAAATCAACTTTTTCATCGTGTATCGTTGGAAACGTACCTCGTGCTTCACTCCATTACTTATATCAGCCAGATCTAATCGATATAAACCGCCTCTGGTGACCCAGAACAAGTAACCATTGTACGGATCTACCTCGATGTGTGTGGGTCGCGTTAAGAAACCAGCCACGGCTACCGTCAAACCTCTTCCGTCTAAATTGCATCTAGCTATCTGCCAAACCGTGGTCGCGTGTTTCACCTCGCCCAAAATGTACAGGTGAAGGTTTAACCAGTCAACGGATAGACTGAGAGGCTTGAAGTTCACTTGGCTGGGGCTAAGTATCACCGTGGGTGTCGTTCGTTTCGTGATTGACGTTCTGTACACGTATCCCAAAGAATCGGAAATGAAAAGCTGCGCGGAGGCTACGTGAATCGCCACTCCTCGAATTGTGCTCGTGTTTTCGTAAACCACACTGGGATCGTCCAACATATCCGCGTCCTGTTTCATAACCACGTGCTGACCTCCAAGAATTAAAATAGGTTGTTGCGTGTCTTTCACTGGAACATCACGAATATTTTTAACATCTCTCTTTTTGGATCTTATCGTTTGGATAATGATCATTTGATCAGTTTGAAAGTTTAATTCGCTCAGCGATGAAACGTACCAGCCGGTTCTGGATTTGTCATGATGTAAGTTACCGCAGGTGGTCCCTCACCAACTCCGTTTCTCATGGTCACGCTAATGGAATAATTCTTGTTCGGTTCAAGATTTTGAAACATGTAGTGATCCGTGTTCTCCGATGCTGGTATATCCTGTCGATCGATTATAAAACAGTATTAATCAAACTGTCAAAGTATCTTTCCCTTTCGATCCCTCGTTGGACATGTACAATTGGTATGCGAATAGGAAGAGAAACGCCATGCCAGAAACGTATTTCGTGAGAGATCTGGTTCTTACAAGTTAACAAATTGATGTTATCAGGATCATGAGTAACGATTAATTAATAAAGGTCCATGTACAATAATATGTAAGTATTATTCGATATAAATAATTTTACAAAATTTAAAAAACTATGGTTAATCGTATCAACAGGCAGTATCAATAATTATAAATATATTCTATAATTTAAAAAGATTAAAATCGAAGAAAACATGCATACGTTCCAAACATGCTTTTACTTATCAATATACATTATATTTGGGGGAAAGTGTGCAGCCTTGTAGAACCAGTTGCTATTTCGGACAGTGCTTTCTGCTACGACAGTTAGAAAGAAGAGAAAAGAGCAATCGACTTTATATCGATGTGCTAAATAGTGATTATAACAGCTTAAAGAGAATAGCTCGAATAGCTTTGACTCGTGTCAGAGAATAATGCATTTTGCCAATAGTAATAGATAACTACGCGCAACGACAAAAAGATTTCAAGAGAAGAAACGAACGATCGATGAGAGTATCGTTTGCATTATTGTAGTTCTGGCGTGGCGTATACCTTAAGCTGGGAGTGATCAGCCCCTTGCAGACGCAGGACATAAGACAAAAGTGGCCCATTGGGGAAAGGGCCCGGTTCCCAAGACACAGACGCGCGGCAACTGTCTACTGCCACCGCTCTTACAATTACCGGTGCTGAGGTTGGTAAACCGGCCGCCAGCGTTCGTATCACGACGCTTGGAGCGGAGACGATAGGCTCGGGATTGTGCTGAGACGATTTTAAAAGTAACGCTACGCGAAACTGTAATTCAACGAATGAAAGAATACAAATAATCGATATAAATAATGGGAATAACATAGAATACACATATTATTAATAGATTAAATATCTGTAATAGATTAGAGAACTTACCCTGTACTTTGTATAAGGTTGCAAATTCTCGACCAAAATCTGATCATCCTCACCCCACGATTGATTTCTGCAATATTGCCATGTCTCGGCCAATTCTTCGTACCTCCATTGCACTAAGTACGAAATGCCTCCGCCACGTCTTTCGATGTCTATTCCTTTCCATTCAAGGCGCAAGGAAGTCGCGGTCAACGAGTCAGCTACCAGTGCTGGTGCCGGTGGAATACCTATTTCCGCTGATAACGAGCATCGATGGATATCAGTATCGTTATTGCGTAGAGATCGTATATTTGATCACGAGGATCGCATGTAAATTAGACAAAAATCGAATATCGATATTGCGATATTGTTGTTGTTTCCTATTCGACCGTCAATTCATAACATAACCACGTTATTATAGTTATTGTGCATTAACATTATTTAATTTGCAAAAAATTTTTAATGGAATTTGAAAAACGTAAAGTCAATGACGAATTACTTTTGAATGACAAAGAGGATGAGACTTTCGATGATTTCGCGGAATATAAGAAAATACTCGATGAATTGAAAGTTTCGTTCTTTGAAAGATGGAAGATTAACAAAGTCGATAACGTTAATCTAAACGATTTCGAACGATTTCGAACAATTGGGACCGGTGCATTCGGACGTGTTATACTCGTGAAATATAAAACTTCTGAAACTTACTACGCTATGAAAATCTTGGATAAATCGAAACTCGTGAAATTGAAGCAGGTGGATCATACGTACAACGAAAAGAGGATATTAGAATGCGTCAGATTCCCGTTTATCGTCTTCATGGAATTCTGTTTCAAAGACAATTCGTACGTGTATATGGTGTTACCGTATATCAGTGGTGGAGAAATGTTCACGCATTTAAGACGAATGGGAAAGTTCGAGGAAAATCTGGCACGATTCTACGCCGCCCAAGTTGCTCTTGCATTAGAATATCTTCATCATTGTAGCCTGGTTTATAGAGATTTGAAACCAGAAAATATTTTAATTCAGAATACGGGCTATCTCAAAATAACGGACTTTGGCTTCTGTAAAATGATCAACGGTAGAACTTGGACTCTTTGCGGTACTCCTGAATATCTCGCGCCGGAAGTGATATTGTCGAAAGGATACGGCAAATCTGTCGATTGGTGGAGTTTTGGCGTTTTAATTTACGAGATGAATGCTGGTTATCCGCCATTTTTTTCGCGAGATCCGATGAAAATATACGAGAAGATCGTCGCTGGTAAATACAAATTCGCTCATCATTTCGGCGGAGAATTAAGAGATATTTTGAAGAACATACTGCAAGTAGATCTTACAAAGAGATACGGTAATTTGAAATCTGGTAGCATGGATATCAAAAGTCACAAATGGTTTCAGCCGATCAAATGGTTAGATGTGTATAATCAAAAGATATTACCTACTTTTATACCGAAATGCATATCGCCTGATGACACTAGCAACTTCGATTATTACGATGAGGAACCATTAAAAGTGGCCACGGTAGATCGTTACGCTAAAGAATTCGAGAAGTTTTGATCGAAAATCGTGATTCAAAGATGACGTGTATTAAAAATACAGATCCTAAAGAGGAAGTATCTTTATGCGAACAAATTTTAAAGATCGTTCATTATAGGTATAATAAAGTGTATATTACCTTTTAATTGTTGAAAGTAACGATTTAGGGCATCGTGACAACCCAGAACACAATACAATTCTTTGGGTGGTAGCAATTCTTGGGTTCCATTCTACAAAATAATGAAATTGACGTTAGGATTGATGTATTATTGCGTTCAGTGAAACGATAGTATAACAGAATAGATAATAGAATGATAGAAAATAATAGAATAATAAGAAAAAGAAAGTGACATTTAACATTAGAATTAGAAATAACTTGTTTTGTACTATACCATATTGTTTTATTGTTTGAATATATACTATAATTAATGCTTTGATATATACTAATATTACCATATTATTTTAATTTATACTAACGCAAACAGCTTGACAACTCGTATCGAGTGCTCGTTGCCATGCTCCACAGCCTTTTGTGCACTGGAACAAACGGAATAAATGCACATTAGACTGTACTACACAATATTTGTTACGCGCCAACTTTTCCTATTGTAAAAACACCGTATCACAAGTTGAACAAACTTATAAGCTTACGATTGAACAATATGTAAAAACATTGAATATATAATTCAATAAATTCATGATTAACAATTATATAGATTTATTTTAAACTGTTGAACATTCATTTTAACTTATATATATATATTCAGCTTATATATAAATGCAAGCGCAAACATTTATGCAAAGTAGAATTAGACAGCATTAGACCCCATTTCCACTTGATCGTTAATTCGATTCTCGATATATCGGATGATCGAATCGAGAAACGAAGAAATGATGGCACGCTGCATAATTTTGGCATTGAAGTATACTAAGTGGAACATCTGGTTGTCGTATTTTAAAAGATGGACGGTACGAGGCACGTGCCTCAAGTGACACCCACGTTCATAAGACAGCCGGTCGGTTCGTGCCGAGCATGGATTTGCGAACCGAAGTTTAACGCATTAACTTTCTGCGCGAGAGGATGTGGGCATTTGTCGGCGACAACAAGCCGGTCGAAGAAGATGGAAAAGAAGAGGACGAGGAAGAGAGCTTAAGAGCACGAAGAATCAAGAACACGAGAGCGCGCGTGCTTATTTGCTATGGAAATCGTGATCGTACGAAATTTTTTACGCTCAGGCGCCTGATACGTCCCTCGAGCTTAATCTTTTTTTCCGATAAACGAAGATCATCAATGTTATCACGTTATAGAAAATTACTTGTCATTATTTGATTTATTTATTAACCCGTTTAACACAACGATCTTATTTAATAATAAATCGAATCGCGTCGATCGTTTTGTCGTTGCATTTTCGACGAGGGTACGAGTTTGTGGATAGGATAAACAAAAATTCCATCCGGTTGCCGAATCGACTGACGAACTGGAAATATCTTGCAAGACTCGTTTCCTTGAGAACATCTTGAAAGGAAGCGTGCTTGACGAAATGTAAATACACAAGACCGATATGGCATGTTCAATGGTTTCAAGAACTTCAGGAAGAGCAAGTTTATAATAGTTTTGTCTAGACTTTCCAGTTCATTTTTAATCGTTGTTTTTATAATTTCTTCTTCTTCGACGAGATGAATCTGTATATTTTATTTCCAATATATATTTTTAATTTCTCTATAAAAGATAATTGACGTTTGATCGCGTTTTCGATCGAAAATCGAAATCCTTAGGTAGGCTCTTATTACCAATAACTGCATCGTGTATAACAGCTGCTGCACCTCGTAAAATCGTTATTTCAACATCGTATCTCGAGATACAAGAGAGCCATTTACCAATTGTCAGGCTGATCGACACTCTGCCGCATTGGAGAGGCGCCGCATATAAATGATACCCTCTCGACATTTTAGAATAATAAGCTCGCTATAGGAAGATTAATTCTACGGGGGATTAGCCATGCACCTGCACGTTAACCAACAGTTTTATCATCTCGAAATCAATTTTATAAATAAAATTGGATATTTGCTTTTTGTTCGAAAGTGATAGTATCTAGAAAGGAACAGAAATATGGAACGCTTGTAATAAAAATATTACGGAATATCACTTTGTTTTCTTTTATAAGAATTTTAACATTTTAACCTTAAATTCAATAATCTTAAAAAAAAAAAAGAAAAAGAAAAGAAAAAACGAAAAAAGGGAAACAACCGTTCGAAACATCGATTAAATCTCGTTTCGCGCGACTGGTCAATAATTGTTATGTATACATACATATATATGTGTATACGATTACGATGGTATTGGAGGGTATCACAGGTCAAATGGTCTGAAAAGTCTAGAACGAAAGGGACCTCCAGCATTAGATAAATAAGTTATTAATAAACATTTGGTGGCAATTCGATTCGATTGCTTCGAACGATTCAGCAATGATTGCAACAAATCGATCTATCAAAACGAACGGAACGAATCGCTTCTTTTTTAAACAATTATTTCAAGAGTAGAAGATACGATCGATCCATCTTAATCCAAAAGGAAGGAAAATGAGATATATATATATATACACTATATAAAAAAAGAAAGAAAAAAATTAAAAATGCCTTTAAAAGAAGAAGAAGAAGAAGAAGAAGTGTCGAACAAGCATTTATCTCGGCAATGCACGATAGTTGTGAACGTCCACCCTAACGACCTAGACGACGATAATTTTTAACGTCTTAATTAATCATATTTCTCTTGACGTTTCATTGCTCCGTGCCCATATCAGCCCCACGATCCCCCTTTTTCAATTAGTTCGCACGAAACGTTCCTTCTTGACTATTTCTTTCCCCTTTTTGGTGGCCACTATTCGTATATCGTACACCGTATTTCGAATTCGGCTCACCTCGTTAAACGATCGTAATTTTTGTCCGTTTCGAGGTTGGGCCGTCGCGTGATGGGGGTTGACAAAACTATCAGACAGTGGAAAAACAGCTGAGGCGCATCGGTTCGACGCTGCGCCTGCTAATTTCTCACTTCCTCATTAAAACCTCAACACACATTACGCCCCGGCCTGGCCCTCGCTCCACTCAACTCCCCTAGATCGTAGATCTTCATTCCACCACGAACGAGGATCTATTCGTTCTCTCCTCGTTTCGCTTCAACCTCCCCGATTGCGCCCAAGAGCGACGCAAGATGTTAATCACGAGGAATCTTGAAGATTCACACGCACACAACGCTTCCGTATCTCGTCTAACGTTAATTTCCGTTAATTTAAAAAAAAAAAAAAAAAAATAGGGAGACGATCGTTTACGATAAATCGTACACGTTAAATTGTTTATTGGTATAATGATCGAGGAAAGATGTGGAGAAGAAGGAGGGAAAGTGGTGGTAGTCAATGTCAAGTGTGCGATTTGTCACGGAGATCCCGGGTGCTGGTGGTCTGCTACTTTACAAACACACTCGAATGGGTAAAATCGGGCTGTCAGATATGTTTTCGCCAAAGAAGATTGAGTAAGAAATCCTCACTTACTATCCTCTTGTTTACGCGCTCAGCCATATATAGAATATCTTATATTTTCTTACGATATTATATTTTCGTATTACATATTGCATTATCAAAAAACATATATGTACACACAACGTAACGTTTCGTACAAAAGAAATTACACGGATATCGGTTTGCCGTGCAATCGATCCGTGAAATTGCCGGAAGAAGCGTCAAAGCCAAGCCCGGTGCACACGAACTTGTCCAATCAAAATTATGTCCATAAAAATTCATCGTATCGTGCGCAAGTTTATAATTCTCTCGCATCCATTCTCTGTTTTAAAATTACGTAAAGGAGAAAAAGGGGAGCACGCGAGTAAATCGAGGTAAAGTTTAACGGCTAGTTGCGGGCAATTTTTGTTGGATTAACGGAGGAAGGCAATTAGGGTTGCGTTTAGCAAAAAGTAGAGCATCTTCCTTTTGAATCGTGTCGTGCCTAACCGTTATTCGCGCGCGTTACTGGAACGTACGAACCGTGAAACGAGGCGAGGGAGGGAATCGTTTCGAGCTCAATTCACATATCAACCTGTGGTATTCGAGGCTTTTCAACTCGCTAGCACGCAACCTCGTGCCATCAAGTTATTTAAAAAAAAAAAAAAAAGAGGAAAAAATGCACGCGATCGAGCACAATAAATATGACATCCTCGCGACGAGGAAGGGACAGAATACTTAATGGTCGCGTTCCTCTTCGCCCTTTTTTTCGATGGCACGCGATAATTAAACGTATCGTAGGCCCTTTTATCCTTTTCGGTACATTAATTGCGGTCCTCGTTTCCTAGCCTGGAGACACGCGTTGCTGGATATCCTTCCGGCCATAGGGCGGATCCTTTCTCGGTTTCTTATCCCCGGATCTTTTCCCTTTGTACTGAAACTTTGGGCTGAAATTTTTTGTTAACGATATTTCTCTCTCGATTTCACTCGACTCTCAGTTAATTCACCTTCCTTTTCAATAACATACAAGATGTTAGATTTTGTCTTGTCTCTAACTCCCTTAACCATAATCGGTAAGTCCGATATTTAAGTGAAATCACATTAAAGTGTGAAAAAAAACATTGTCGGATTCACGGTTCACCATGGATTTCCGCAACAGGGTGAAACGGGAGACAGACAGAAGCAGAGAAGCGGAAAGAGATGGGTAAACAGAGAGAGCGAATCCGGAGTCACACGGTAATTTGGCGACATCCGCCATAGGCCGCACTTGTACGCGATCCAATTTAAAGTTACGAAGCCGTACGAGCCCGGCCATTCTTTCATTCGTACGCGTAATACGTATATACGTTTATCCATTCATTGCCTTTGGCTACGTATATACGCTCTAAAAGAGAGAAGAGAGAGAGGGAGAGAGAGAGAGAGAGGCGAAGGACCTGACTTTGTTTTTATTTGTCATTTACCGTCTCTCTACCGAACAAGCACCCCCGGGGACGGCAGCGGAAGTACTTTCATTGTGCCAGGGGACCGGCGTCCCTTTATTTTCGTCTCGACGTTCGCCTATGTTAATAAACGTTCGACAATGTTCCCCGACGAACTTTAAATTCGCGCCGCAACCGATGCGAAAATTATCCTCATTATCACTGAACTTAAGGCTCCAGTCTTCGCCCAATCGAAGAAGATATTCCGAAACTTCTGTTAACTCGTCAGCGTACAACATAGCGTTCAATATAGATCTATCTAAGCATCACCGATGAGCGAGTTTTAAATCACTTACTTGGTCGATTTTGCATCGTACACCGCATCCTACCTCCGAGCTTGAATCGTCCGTTCGATTCTGGAAAAAGAAAAAAAAACATAAATTTAATTATCGTCCCTTTGTATCTAATAATATTTTTCCAAAAAAAAAAAAAACATGCAAAGTATATATTTCACGGTTATGTGACAGATGTGCAAACGTTAGTTCACCACGCGATTTATATTCATAAACAGGTGATATCAATGATATTTTTGAATAAATACGATCGTTAGGGTTAATTAAATATGCGTTGGGGACTAGTTGACTCCGAAAATTCCCATAGCGGTACGCACGGCTTCACATCACCTTGTTATCGGCTACTGAAATTATTCGCCACCCTCGATCTAATCGATTCCATGAATGCATTCTTTCTTCTCTTTCTAACTTTCATTTCCATTAAATGCCGGACGCGCACCTGTGTACCGGAAGCGTGTAACGTACAGGTGCAAACGATGTAACGACTACCTTTTTTTTTTTTTTTTTTTTTTTGGCAAACGGTACCAGAATCCTGCGACTTGGCACAATCATTCGGCGATTCATTCGCGACGGGCTAGGTATACCGGGGGTGTCAATTGAACCGGATGAAACAATTTACTATCTTTTAAAGCTGGCAAGCGATTCAATTTATTTTCTACGGCCCCTACGTGTAACGCGGCCAAGCCGTTGCCATCGTTCGAATCGCAATTTTTTTTTCCCCTGTCATAAATTAAAAATACCATTTTTCTTCACAAATATCTGAATATATATTCTGAATATACGTTCGTGCGGCATTGTTTGGAACAATGTGCCATAAATTGTACGCGAACAATTAAATTTTAATCAAGTTTCGCTGTTTTGTGTTAAAATGTAAAAAAAAAAAAAAAAAAAAATACGACGTATAACAATACTCTTGTTCTGTATTTTCCCATCAAGACAACGAAAAGTGCACGACGAGTGAAAGAACCGCCCGATAACAAAAGCCAGAGTGATGGTGCAGTGTTTTCGCGACTATCGCCTCTCAGCGTGGATGTATCAATTTTACGATGAATTTTTTTCTTTTCTTTCCATTGTCGAGGAATCTCGTTGCGCGTTCCTTGCCTCTTCGGCCGGCACGATGCTCGTTTAACTTTGCACCCGATTAATCAAACCGCCTAGACTATTACATGAAACCAAGTACCCCTGCGACACTACCACACTTCTTGCTAGAATATTCTTCGCCAATAATTGAAATTCCGTGTTTATCATAAACTGTTGTCGTGAATTGTTGCACGTTTATTTCCAAGATCGGTCGTTCTCTTCTTCCAAAGCATTTTATTATAATAATCCCTTCGAATTATCGTGGCAGTGAATTTCGAAAAGTCACTGCGTTTTATTACGACTCTAGCTTCTCTGCTTGCTTCCTGTTCTCACTAAAAGATAGACCATTCTCAAGACGGAAATCAGCCGGTAAAGAGCCGGTTTTATCTGATCTAAGGTAATGGCTTAATGCGTACCTGCTCGTCCTTCCGCACGTCCTTCCGTCATATTCAACGTCTTCGTCACGCTCGAAAGCATTCGCCAACTGTTGCACCTCGCCCCCAAATGCTTCCAATGTTGATGACCGAGTCTAATGACCGACTACCGCGTTCTCCCTCCAATTTGACACACGCAAGACGGATTTTTATCAGTATCTCCTCTCAAGGTCTACATAGAACGCGATGATTTCAACGAAAATTAACTTATTTACCTTACATTAAGCGACATATTGAACCGAATTACGTAAAAGTATAATCGTATATACTCAAATGCCGCTTGATCATCGGCATTTTGCCTTCATAAAGATAAATTCATGAATCAACGATGGTAATTCGTTCACAGAAATTGAAATATTCATCGAAATTTAACTCAAACATTTGAAAGTGGTGTATAACTGGAAGGGCCTTTGACACGTTCAAAGCGTCCCAGGGTGCTTCGAGTTGAAGGCAAAGGGTATCAAGTTTTTTTCGTGCGGTCACGAACAAGCCACGATCGCACGGTGTTGAATGTATACCGGACGGTGTCCACTCGGATGGAACATCTACCTTTGAAGTCTGAGGTTTGTCTTTGGCAAACACCTTAACTGTGTGTCCCTCTCGCTCCATCTTCTTCTCTCTTTCTCTCTTCCCTTTCAACGACCGTTTGGAAAAGCAATGCAGTCGACGTTCCAACGTTTGACCGGCCGCAAACATGGCATTCGTCTACGAACCGCGTCAATTATTCTCGCGTTACGCCATGAATTAAAAAGATACGCATCACCTCGTGTGGTTCACTTTGCACTCGTTAACACGGAGAACAGGAAGCATTTTTCATCGCTATGTTTACAGTGAAAAATCATTTCCACGTCTTATTCTTCGCCACGATAGTTGTATAACAGATTCTTAGACGCTTGATACGATGAATCAAAGTTGGTCGAAATTCTGAAAAGGATGAAAATGAAATGAAAAACAATTTGACTTGCTTCAAAGTTCGGGCGCAACGATCATTTTATCGGGCCTAGGCATTTGGACACGCGGTCACCATTTAATTTCCTTAATTACCTTCAAGATTATAAGATGAATTAAAAACAGTCGCCATCAGCTGCCATTCGTTACGATCTTCGGACTGGTGTACTGGTCTAGATATACGCGTACATGGAACGTGCATGCGTTTTAATTGATATGACGTCATGTGAAGGCGCCGAAACTCTACTTCCCAGGATTTGTTTGCGACTCAAGGCTGAACAATTTAACAGGATCGTCCCTCGAGACGAAACGAGCCGACAATATTTTCTAACATATCTTACATTTCTTTTAACATATCTTCAAGGATTTTTTCGCCAATTTACACAATCTTTGCGCATTGATCGTGAGAGAAAATCAACCGTATCCCTTTCAAAAATTCCCTGAAATTCGTGAAATCCTAATATGATGTGGGACCCCTATATTTATATATACGTCGCATTCAAGCTTAAGATACGCTTGCCGACGACCTTTCCCTCAATCCTGACTATAGATTTTTCCTTCTAGTTTCAATCGAGAATATCGAGAGATTTTACATATGTTTATCATATAAATATTTTCTATTATCAGTCCAAGCTATTTTGGATATTTCAAGTCAACGATAACACAATCATTCCTTCAAATAACAGACCATCATTCTCGAACGAATTATCGGGTTTTTCTTTTTCGATTCGTTCAATCATAGGAATCATCCATCATCCAATCTTCCGTCTATAAAATTTTTCACTTCACAGTAAGCTTATAAGTAGCTACGATAAATCTCAGTTAATCGAGCTTCGTTGTAGATAATTTTTAATTTTTACCAAGCAGAATCGTTGCACTACGAGCTATCGAGCTTCGCTTAGCATAAAATTATATTTATAATTTTCTACGTGTTAATTTTATATTGCTGATGTTTGATTTCATTCAGACGAAGAGGAAGAAATAACGAAATAATAACGATTCGCGTACATAACAAGGATCGATAGGACGATTTCGAATTTCACACGATTATCAATGGACTTCGAAGTGAACCCCTAGCAAATCACCAGGCACGCGTTGTAGGTGAGAGGATGTGGCCGGCAGGAAGTTCATTGTGTACGGCTACACATATAATATTGCACGATCCTGCGGATTCTACGTAGTTTCACGAAAGATAGGAATTCGCCAGATTGTCGCTACCCGATTCGAATCCTTATAGGTATGAATGCGTCGAATTACGCCATGGCTGCCTCGCTATGAAATCGCATGTAGGTTAACGCGTAGGCGTAACGAGATCCATTACAAGCGCCGTTTAAGTAATTATTTTCCAATTAAGGAAGAAAATTTAAAAAAAAAAAAAAAAGAACGAAATTGAGAAATTCCACACCACTATTGAGAGAACGATTAGGCGTGTGAAACAGTAATTGTGATAATTTATTTGGCATATTTTTGAGTCGCGCGTTATTAAGAGTAAGTGTGTATCAACAGTTATAGAAGTTTCCAGCAAATGTAAAAATGGTAACACCATAATCTCGAAAGAATTGATGTCACATCGAAGCTTATAGAAAACTAATCATCGTGGTTATGCAATAAGGTCATCCTAGGCATCATAAGTCGAGATAACGCGATTTCATTTCTTTATTCGTGTTTAGTAAATACTACGGGCGCCAATGGTACGCGACGCATCGTAAACATAAATATAAATCTAAGTGAATTTTATAAATCGCTTTGCATTTTTTCACCCCACGGTGAAATCCAATCCCGATCTCTACCTCTTATCTTGAACTTGAATGGTTACCCACGTTGCCCTTCGAACTTCGGCGCCGAGAAGATGTGAAAAAACGGGCGAAGATCGGGAAGAGAACGAAGGGAAGATAAGGGATCGAGAAGTTGATTTTTGAACCATGATTTCTTTTATCTGGCCCCGGATAATTGAAATGCAATGTTTCGAGAAATCTTTCCAAATTTAAAAAAGATATCGCGTACGACAACGTGTACGAATTGAAACAATATCTTTTTCTTGAGAGATGAAAATCTAAAGGAATTCCATTAAGCTTAAAAGAAACGTTCTCTCGAAACGAATGGTTCCTATGGTTCGTGTGAACAAACTCGACATAAGAATCTCGTAATCAGTGTCTAGCAATTGGCGTGAACGAAATTGCTAGCAATTATCAATTAAACTCTCCACGAAAGGATCGGTTTAATCATTTCTCCAGACCGCCTTTTGTTACGTTTATCTCTCCTGATGCATCCTTTCAATCGCCTTATTCGCTCTTTGTGCGAGCCTTAAGAAAGAGAGAGAAAAAAAAAGATAGAAAAAATACGATTCCAAATGAACCTTTCGAAAGATATCATACGATCGTCTCAAAGAAAAATGAATATGTTTTAATATGTAACGTTTAATATTTCGAGAGACGACGTGAATATTGATCGATATTTGGACGGAAATTAAATGAAAATAAAATAAAAAAGAACAAAAAAATAGAAACGGCTAATAAAATAGTTACAACTCGTCTTTCATCCTCGAGATCGTGCTTATGGACTGCGATGATGCGCCGTCGTGTAGTTAAGTTAATTAATGAATGGTACAGTCGGGATGGAGAGTGGACTTAAATTGATACGTCCTTCGTGTGGAGCCATTTTTGTGTTACGCTCGCCTCGCTTCGAGAACGCTTCTCGTGATTCCAATGAATCGACCGGTTTTCATATCGTTCTTCATATTTTTTCTTTTTTTTTTTTTTTTGCATTTTTATTTTTTTTCCGTGAAATAATATTATTCACTCGAAGTAACCGACCAAGTGTGTATCGCGAAATTCCGACAACAGAGAGAAAAAACGATGATACGAATGACAAATGAATAAGGAACAATAGAGAAAGTTTAAATTGAAATATAACAGACGAAAATAATCGGCATCTTGTGCGAAAAGGCTATCAGGAGACTGACGCGATGATTACGGATCGATTTTTGTTCTCGTTTCGTTTCACGGGCCAATATTATTAACTTGATGGCTATACTGACCTCTTCATCATCGAATCGAGACCGATAAAGAAATTTCCCCGCGATTGCGATTATTTATTGCTGTAAACAATCGTATTCACTCCAAATGCGCACTATGAAAATATAGAATGGAAAAAGAATGGAAATTTCACGGTTAATTTAACGATTGTGTCTTTTAAAATCTCAGCATGGTCTACATCCTTCGATCGGTCACGCGACAATCTTCGTGACTTTTATCTAATGGCAGTTTCATAATAAGACCATATATAATAATATTACGAATAATCACCGAGAATGCTGATAAATACTACGAAAATGCCTACGATAAAAAGCGAGAGAAAAGATAGCAACATCTTTTCGTATATTCATTTACTCGTATATATATATATATATATATGTATATAATAAATTAGGTTTTATCTATTATGGTAGATCTGGACACGTGCAAGATTCCATAACCTGTCACCTTATTACTAAAGTTGGAATTCATTATCGAGCTATATATTTTCTTTTTTCTTTTGCTTTCGAAACATTCTTTCTAAATGAGCAAACACAATATGTTGGAAGCACAATAAGTTACAGCGCGACAAAATAAATGGTAAAGAAATTGGTCAATGTGGAAGAGAGGAAAGAAAATAGAAAAGAAAATATAATTATTTTATATTCATTGAGAATTATATACTGTTTCTGTAGTCGTGAATAATTTTATATTATATTATAAATTATAAAATTCTGATTCTGACCTGATTCAAATCGAGATCCGGGCATTTCGAGGCGCATTCTTCTTGGAGATTGGCAGGAGCAGTCCGATCTTCGAAATCTTCTGGCAGAAGCGTCGAAACGCTTCCCGCCAACGCCAACACCAGAAATACACATAACCCTGTTGCTAACATAATATCCACAACCCCCTCGTAAAATAAACCCTCGATCACCCTCCACGAAATTTTTATAACAATTTCTTTAACTATCGATCGTCATTGTTCTCTCGATCCTGATGACCTCCACGACCTTACAAGAAGGTTCGAAACGAATATCAAACTTCTTTCCTCCGCATTCTTCCACATCGATCCTCGAGTTTGAGGAATTCGAGCACTTGAGCAATCGATGTTTTCTAAATGAAATTGCAATCACCGATAAAATCGCGCACTTTCCATGTCAATAGACAGAAAAGATAGATTGATTTCTTCTATCGAATACCTCATTCAAATTCACCCTTATTTTAATTGTACCTTCACTACAATCAAATATATAAATTCACGTTCAATTTTTATGTATAGAATTGTCACTAAAAAAATTCACCAGTGCAAATGTCAACAACAATAATCGGGATAATTTCCATCACTTTTTTCTTGCAATTATAAAATATCAGCCATAAAAAAAATAGGGATTCTCAATCAAGTCTCTCCTATATAAACGAATAAACGAAAAATAAATTTCACGATAAACAATTAGGATTGTTAAAATTGTTTCGAATCACCTGTGACGTTTCGAGTCACGAGGCCCTCACTGTAAGAGCCCAGCGTGGTGTTGTTAATGTCTGGCAAGCATAAGAGCAACTGACTCCGAATGGCCACTAGAGAGTCAACTATCCCCCACCATGGCAACCCTTATCTGTTGCACTCTGCTTGACCAATTCCGTACAGTGGTGGTAGGTATACTACCAGGCTAGCGTGTGCACATGAAGCCATTATGGCATATGCCTGTGGAGTGTCTGAAGATGAACAAAAAGAATAAACGATCTGAACTTTCGTTTGTGCAGGTCCGACTGACCAATGGTCAATTGGTAGATTGACCTGTTCTTACTATCCTCGTAAACTTTCATTCATATATTCGCACGTGCCGCTTTTAGTCGGGTACCCACGTTGTCCGATGTCAAGAAAGCCTGGAAAAAATGAGTTGCGAAGAAAAATGGTATGATTTTTTTTTGTTATTTTTTAAAATAGTGTACATATTAGAATATTTATAATTTTTTAAAGCTAAAAATGATTTGTTCAAATAAGTTTTTTTAGTTTTAGAAATTTATAATTTAATTATAATGTTACAAGATTTTACATAATTTTGTTTAATATTTTAATATATATATAATATATTTTATATATTAGTATATTTTATATATATATAGTATATTTAATTAGTTAAGGAAAGAATATTTAGTTAAACGTTGGATTAAATTTAAATTTAAATTACACATTGGTTGAAGATCATTTCATTAACTCAACCATCTTCTTCTGTTGTGTTAGATTGAAAATAGTCGGATGGTACAAAGTAAATTTGAGGCTGAGTTTCGAGTAAATATTACTTATATTGACGTTTCGAAAAAGAATGCATCCTTTCTAAAAATTTTTGTACACATACCATTCGTTTTGACACCCTTAGAAACCAATGCTTTTTGTTGACAATATACCCAATGGATATATTATTATTCACTTAAAACTTTCACTTTTTCATATAAGAAAAAGTAAATTTTCCATAATTATTTATGATTATTATTATTACATAATAATAAAAATAAATTTTCTTTGATAGATAAACACATAGTTGTTTGTTTAATATTGTTTCTCAGTCTTTGTCCGCTGTAGCCGAGTCAAAACGATGACTCATTTCGACAGATTAAATCTGCGGACGACAAGAGTCTGTATTATGTTGTGTTACTATTGTCAGTCACGGACCAATGCATTGAGTCTTTCTTTTCGATGACCCGAAAGCGATCTATTCTTCGATGTGTACGCATATCTATTCGATCATGGAGGAATTCGATTTACCTACGTTTGCGTTAATGCCGTGCCTCGTAAATATTTTCGTGACATTACATGAATAGAAATATTTTTAGTTCATAAATATAAAATTTTACGTTCTACGCGATAACTTAAAACTTAGAACAAACTCTTCATTATCAATCCTTTTCTCAATTTCTTGTATTACCAGTTCCAGAAGTTGTTGAAATTCTTTCCTTAAGTACGTCATACACTTAATACAAACAATTATCAATATAATTAGCATAAATTATGTAATTACCATGCTTAAGAAAAGTCTTTTCTCTTCTTTTTTTTCTTCATTTCGTCAGATTTATCATTTATAAATCATTCCTAGAACATCTTTTGTTTGCAATTTCTTGAACAATTGAAATACTAAAATAAAATAAATATATTGAAGGTATTGATATCTTTTAATATTCTTAATAATTAATTTTAGTTATATTATAATTATAAAAAAAAAATCTCGGATAAAGAGAAAGATTTTACTTCGACAATGAAAAGCGAAAACCAATCAATTAACGCAACGAGATTATGGACAAACGAATTCAGAACAGCTTGTTATGAAACGGCAACGATCTGTGGCACGTTAGTTCCAACCTCAATGGCGGTTACAGGTTACCTAGGGCTTCCTGCGGAAATGGCCAATATACTCCTCCGACCTCCAACTCACTCAGTCACTCGCTCACTCGGATCACTCCTGTTTGGTGTACCCCGTACCTATATGATCGCCCTGTCGCTCGACACGTACTTGTTACGGGTCATCATCGTGATCTATGCGCCTACAACAAATGTTACATCCTTAATCTGTCCTAGCCTGCTAATCCTACGCTCGTGCTGAACGAGAAAGTTGACATTATTCTGCAACTGTAGACAGATCAAGTATTATTTCGCATAGCAATTATAACGTGTTTAATTCGATGAGAAGCAAATATTGTTTCGCTATTTTGGAGGTTATAATTAAAATGACAAATATCAATCGATAGATCACTAGTTTATTCTGTACAAGATTTAAAAAGATGAAATTAAAAGATAATCTCGCATAATAATTTATTATATATGTTTTTTCAAAGACTGATGTAATTCAAGAAACAGAGGGGCAAGTTGTAATTTTCCAAGCTACTTTTCTTCATATTTTGTAATGAAAGAAAATATATATTATATTAAAATCCATAAAAATATTACACATAAAAATCTTTTAATAGAATGATTATTTTAGAAAAATGATTATTTTGATACATAAGAGAAGATTTATTAACAAAGTGATTATAAAAAAGATGTTTCTCAAGATGCGACCCAATTCACATGTGTTCGTGATCCATCGTTTGTTTTGCATACAACGTAATTGTAATACAAAAGAAAGAACTTTTTGTAAGATATCTCAACGACTAGTCTAAGACTTACATTCTGCTTTACACGATACAGCAATAATTCGGGTCTATTAGACCAATAAAGTATATCAAAGAGAAGGAATGCGCCCCGCGTCAATCGTACATAGTGTCAGTTTGTCTGTCCGTGCTTTGATATACGGGGTGCGGGTGGACAGATAATTTAGATTGAATACAACTGTATATTAAGAGTAAAACTGAAGAGAATGATTAAGAAAAAAATAAAAATTTTTCATAGTAAGAAATAATAATTTTTTTATATAAAATATTTAAAAAAAAAAGCATTTAAGAATTTTCTTTAAAAAAATTTATATCTGCTTATAAGATAGAAATAAAAAATTTAATTTACATATATATGTATACATTAATAAATTAATAAATTTCTTTCATGATTATGATATTTTCATTAATATATTTTTTATATTTTCATATTTTGATATTGAATATATTTTTTTTAAAATAAGATGAGATGAAAGAAATTAATTAAACGAATTAATATATAATTTTCCCATCATTTATATTCGCAATATTATAATCATGTATATTATATGAATATCTATGCAATTACTTCAAATCACTTGCATATTAAAGAAAAAAATCTTTATGATTAAAATAATAATTCTTAATTAATAAAATGTAGAAATGTCTATTGAATAGGAACAAAGAAAGTTCAATTTAACCAATCCCATGAAGCTTTAAATGCTTCTCAAAGATAATTGTTATCTTTATCAGAAATTAATTGCGATTCAATAATTTCTCTAATACGCGAGTGAAAGCAATACCTATCATTTATTAATTTATTATTTTTTTAATTAGAAGTTATATTTATTGTGAAATATTATTTAATACTTAAAAATTCTACGTAATATAACATTTTTGAGTTAATAAGTTGTTATTAATTTATAATATAATAATTATAATATTCTTTTTAGGTACTTACTTATTATATTTTTATCTTAAGAATTTTGTTATTTTTTAAAAATTTTGTTGATTTTTATCAGTGCTTTTTGCTATTCATCTTTCCTAGTGAACAATTTTTTATTCTCATTTTATATATAAAATGTAAATATATTAGGTTCGTAACTATTAAAACATAAAATAAATATTATGTAGATAATATTCTTAATAATATTTATAACTTTAATAATATTTCAATTTATCACCAGAGACCGCCACCTCTCGGATTGGAATTCAAATCTGACAATTATTTATATATATATTTTACAATTTTTAATTTGTATTTTTAAATAATATTTTGAATGTAGCATATGAAATATTATTTTTATATTATCATTATACTATATATATATTTATATGTTAAATTTATATGAAGTAAAAATTTTTAACTGCTAAAATAGTCATGTAAACAGGTCTCATATTATGAGGTTTTATATGGTAATTCAAGATGGAAGACGGTGAAAATAAAGCGGACGTTGGGCTGGATAAAGAGAAAAAGTCGTACGCTGGAATACCGGAAGCCGAATTTGTAGTAAGTATATTATTCTAATAAAAAATTTACATAATATATTATTATAATATTGCTATCAATACATAAATTTAATATATTACATTATATTATGATATATATTTTTACAAAGGAATAATCCTCGTGATTATCGATAATTCTGTAAAATTTTATCAAATAAATCTTGTAAAATTTATGTAACAAAAAAAAAGATAAAATTTTTTTTCTTTTATTCTAATATTTTTTATACTAAATTTTTGCTTATTAGTATAATATATAAAAATACACAATACTTTTTCGTATATACGTTATGCTAACCGTATATGGTCAGAACAGATTTAAATATAATATAAATATAATAAATATTATTATTTTTGTAATATATATTATTTATTTTTATTTTAATGCTATTTTAAAATTTTTATACATTTTACAAATTTTTTAATATAGGACGATGTCGACGCTTTCATGGCGAGACCTGAAAATGAATCGGCAGATAAAGTGTTACAAAAGTTGGATGAAAACCATGGCAAATATAAATTTATGGAATATAATTTATTTAATAAAAGAAGACGTTTGAAAGCTCAGATTCCAGATTTAGAAAGATCATTAGACATGATCAAAAAATTACAACAAGAGAAAGACAAAAGCAAAGAACTAGAAACACAATTTCTTTTATCAGAACAAGTTTATGCAAAAGCTGTTATTCCTCCTACTGATAAAGTGTGTTTGTGGTTAGGAGCTAATGTTATGCTAGAATATACATTGGATGATGCACAAGAAATGTTAACAAAAAATATTGAAGCAGCAAAGAGAAATCTAGGTTATGTAGAACATGATTTAGATTTTGTGAGAGATCAATTTACTACAACAGAAGTTAACATGGCACGTATTTATAATTGGGAAGTAAAACGCAGACAAGCTGCTAAACCAACATGAAGGCTGTTTTTTTAATAAATTTAATATGCACGCAATGAATGCCTAAAACTCAAAAGGTAATTATGAAGAAGTAAATGCAAAAGGAATTCACATATATCATTATTTATTATATAATTTTAATAATTTTATGTATAATATATAATATAATAATATTTTAATATTCTTATTCTTTTTTTAAAGGTTACTTACATTACACTGTCAAATGGAAAGAGCCTGTGAATAAAAAGTACTGTTGGAAATTATCAATGAAATAAAGAACTCGAATACCATTTAGGTTATAAGCTAGATACACCAATATTTATGTATATTGTCACAAATACATCTGAATTCTAACTTCATATGTTGTTTTGTGTATTTATAATAAGATTATTACCACATTTATTATATTAAACTTAATTGGCTTATTTTGATATTTTTGCAAAAAAAAAAATATACAACTTATATAAAAAACAAAATAATACATTATATTTATTAATATCAGAAATATCACAAACCAAAAAATTTAATTTGATTTTTACTTTCTAATTTATCATCCTGTTTGTATACTTTAATTACAAACTAGATCTTATGTTATAAACACGTATAATTTTGTTAAAAAACAAATATAAAAAGTATCATCTATACTTTTGTGAACATGATAAGAAATAGGCTTATAACTAATGGAATTTGCATGAAACTTAATTTATCTTATGTTTTAAACTGTATCAGAAAGTGATTTGCTATATCTATTTTTAAGGCACATAGTCGATCTGACTTTCTGTAAAAGTCAGTGTCCAGCAGGGACTAGTATCCTATTATAACTAAATCTTCGTGAATTAATCTGTTCCTTCATCTGCTTCATATTTCACCAACTTTGTCTTTAACTCATTGATTTTGGCTTTAGCTTCTTCTAATTCTTTTTTTAATGTTTGTACTTCCACATCAACTTCTGTGATGCCTCCTAGATTTAGACGAATATATCTATGATATTATTTAGGAAATTATTTTCCAATAAAAATTCGAATTAACATTAATATTTTTGTATTATAATATGAATGTATCAATTATAAATTTTAAAAGGATACTCTAAAGCATCATCTGGTTTTTCTGGTTCTTCATATAAAGACACAAGTACTTTCGTAAGAGCATCCATCACTCCTGCTCTTTCCAGATATTTTCTAAATTCTTCTCTTTTAGAATCAGGTGGCTATAATAAATATTGCAAAAATTAAAAATAATAAAAATTAATAGATTTATAAAATTTACTAAATTATACGCATAATAATAAAACACTTTGAATCAATAACACTGCAAAAGATATTACATCGCCATCGTTATTGAAGAAATTATATTAAATAAGAACGTATAGATTTAGCATTACCTTGAAATTCGACATTTTTATTACCACAAATTATTACAACAATACTTGGAAAATACTATTTTAGCAAATAGTTCAAAGAATTTCCGACAACACGTGTTTGATAAATCACACAATACGGAACAGATACAAGCCTTTATGATGCTCATTCAGAACAAATGCTATATGATATACGCGATTTTCAAAACAATGAATGTACGAAACAATTTTTAATTAAAAAAAATCATCATTTACCATTTTGAGAAGTGAATTCAATATATAGTAACAGTAAAAATTACTTTCTCTTTCTTTTTCACTTCCTTTCACAAATACAATTTACGAAACTTGTGTGCTTTCAATAATAAACTTCGAATGTCACAATTTATTTCGATCGGAAACACTATAATCAAAAAAGTATTCAGTTTGGACCTATATCTGATGCCATTCTATAATTTCGTGTCATAAAATTTAAATTGTTACAAAGTTAGTAGTTAAAATATCTTCTCTCATATAATAAAGAATTATAAACAAAATTAATATAAGCACTTATTAATTAATGTAAAATTTTATTTTATTTAAAAAATATATTAAATTTATTGATATAAATTTAGCTAAAATAAAATATAATGAGAGATATCATACACACACTATATAAAAGCATTGATTATTCAATATGGCGAGGTAATGTTTGTAATATAATTTTTCTCTAACTTTTTATAAATTAAAGAAAAAAAGCTTTGAATTTTTTTTAAAAACTTTGTTATGATGTTTTTGGGAAGAAAAGAAGTTTTTTTAAGAATAGTGCTAACTGGTGCCATAGGTATTTGTTCGTTCATTGGTGATCAAGGATTGAAACATGGAAAGACTGCCATGACACGCGCGATTTTTGACAATGTCACTCACGCAATTGTTGGTGGACTTACTTGGGCAGTTATCTTAAATTTGTCAAAAAAACCTCTTATACAAAACTTTCCTAGCATTTTCTTGTGTTTTTCTTTATCATCTTTTATCGACATAGATCATTTTATTGCAGCAGGCAGTTGGAAGTTAAGTGTGAGTGATATCATAACCTTTTATCGTTTAAATAATCAGCATATCTTATTTATAGGGAATAATAATGAAATTTTTCGTATAAATATGAAACTTGAAATTTCGTTTTGAAAATTATATATATCGTTATAGATATCGTTATTTAATATTTTATTATATATCATATTTCAAAAAAAATATTAATTATAACTTGATATAATGATATTTACATAATTTCTTACAGGATGCAACACATTTAGAAAAAAGACCATTTTTTCATTGTACCACTCTACCTATAACATTATGGCTTATGTTAAATTTTTATTCAAGTGTATTTAATCATCCAAAATTCAGTTATTATTCTTGGATAATATTAGCAAGCTTTCTAAGCCATCATATAAGAGATGGTACAAGAAGAGGTTTATGGTTTTGTCCTATTGGTTCTACACAACCTATTCCATATTATTTATACTTAAGTATGAGTATGATACTTCCTCATGTGCTACAATGGTTGATGATACCATCTATGCATGAATATAAGTCTTCAGATAATGAAACATTAATTGATATTGTGTAAATAGTATAAAGTAAATATGGCTAAATGTATATAATATGTATAAATATACATGTATATATATCAATGTAATTTTTATATTAATATATCATGTATATTTTTTATAATTTATATATTTTTAATCATATTTATTACAAATAAATATTACATTTTTTATAAGCTTTTATAAAGTAACAAAGATTATAAATATAATAATATTTTAATTTATTTATTATTTAATTAAGAGGAATAAAAATAAAAAATATTTTAAGAAATATATTTGTTTTTGCATTATAGCAAACAATTACGTAAACAATTTGACCTAATTAAAAGTGCAACTTTTATATTTATCGTTAAATGCATAAAAATAAGCATAAAATATCAAAACAGGAAAAACTTACATAAATACATTAAAAAGGGTTCGTCCATAATGTTTATGCGTATCCATAATGTTTACATACTTGTTTCCAGAGACACATGTGTTCAGTAAACGAGCATTGTTCATGTATGCCGGTCTCTTGTATCGTGTATCTCTATACATAGATCCATATTCGATTGCGATGTAAAAATTTAACGATACCCACGTAAATATATGCGTGCTGGTGTAATATGTAGGGATTTGAGTGAACGCGGAGGACGCAGATGCCCTTGCAAGAAGTCAGCCGCGCGCACACGTGTGTACACGTACACCTTCCACAAGTTGGAGGGGTTTATCAGCATTCAGCATTGCTTTGTTGGCACTGTTATACACTTTACTTCACTCTCGTCCCGCGATCTTATATTAGTGTTCATTTACCTAGTCACCTATTCCACCGAACAACGATGGTGTTTACGACGCCGTTCAATGAAATTTTAAAACAATCAATCTCGTGATCGAAAATTTCAACAAGTGTTATTATCTTACTATCTCTTCCGTGTTTTCACAGTGAAATACCGTTTGATTTTTGTTACGAGAAATTAATTTTTCGTTCTGGACATATTTTTAGTGAACTATTATCGCTTGTTAAATGTGTTATTCGAGAAAACTATCGATGACATTGAGTTACATTATCTCCGCTATGTGATATTTTCTTATACATAATATTTTTAAAAATTTTATACGAATAATAAAAATTTTTGAACGGGAGCTCTACAATGCCGCCAGGTTTTCGCAGATATCACATCAACTATGATAATGCGTTGATACCGATATCTTGATCGTGTATATACGCCAGTCCAATATTACCTCCAGGGAGATCCCGTGTCATACTTGCTACGTTTATATTATATTTACCATGGTGAGTACACATTGTTCCGATTTTTCTATGGATTGTATTCAAACCGTTTCTGAAATCTATGGAATGCTATGACTCTTGATCATAAATTGTGTTTCAGTTAAAATGTCAAATATTACAAATCATGTGATATAATTTCGCTTTAATTATATGTATATCAAGATTGTCGTTCGTTTTATTATTGTAATGAATAGTTAGTCCATCTATCGACTAATTCCGTCGTACATAATTATTTCATGTATTATTGTTGATAAAACAATAATAATTTTATTTAGAGCGATTTTACATACATAGTTAATTATTTTTTTTATTTGAATTTTACAATTATTGTTACTTATGTACATATGTATTAATGCTTTCACATGAAATGAGGCTAATCACAAAATCATAATAAAGCATGTTTTGTAATAGTAATTACGACCACTCGAACGGATGCTTATTACAGATGCAACAATGTTCAAGGTTGAATTGGCGTAAGAAGAATCACTGGAATTATACGATGAAAGTGATTTGCTGATGATATTAACAATTCTATTACATTCAGCATAAGATAATGACATTCACAGTATTATGCATTTTACCATTCATACGAATTCCGAACGGTTTGCATGGCAAAACAAACTTATGATTCGTAAATTTCCTGTTTGCATTCAATATATTTATTAGTTTTTATGGCATCAGACGCATTAATCGCAAGTTACGAAATAACGTTTCGAGGAAGTGCAAAGCAACCATGCGTGACAAAGATTCTTTCACATTCTTGCATTCTCACTATTTCCATCTTTGTTACGCCCTCGCTGTATTAGCACATTTCGAATTTTTCTCATCAAAAATAATTCTTTAATCGTTTGATAGATTTTATTTTTTATTTTAAAAATAGTTTCAAAGCAATCGTATTAATTGATAAATCGTTAACGATATTTAAGAATTTTTAAAAATGTTTTCTTATCAATAAGATTTAAAATTAAATGTTTAATTTTCTAGGAAGCCGATGAGTTGGTATTGTATTTTGCTATAGCAGGTGGGATTACTGCTGGTGCTTTGCTAGTGCTGTTCATTTTAGTGTGCGTACTGTTTGTCAAAGTGAATCGATTATCAACAGACGGGTAAGTACATAACTTCTTTCATTCGATAGCATTTCTTTTTTTTTTTTTTGTTTGCAAGAATTTATTCCTAATTTTCGCTTTTAATTCAATGCTATTAAGCTTTGCTTAAAACGGATAATAAAACGAAATGAATGCACAGCAGGCTTTGCTTGTTGAATGATTTAGTTTCAACGTTATTTTAATTAAAATATTTGACGGGTTTTTTGATTAAACTCGATGGATATCAGTGGCATAGCCGGCGTTTCATTTTGTTGGGACGAGCCACGTTCTCGACGAACTAGGAATCCGAATAAGTCACGTAAGATTTACATTCTAAAGAGCAAATATGATTGTCGACTCGTGGTAATATTGGGACGTGCGAGTGAAAAAAAAATTAATTCATGACTCATTACGGCATCGATATCGTATCTTTGCTGCGAGCAAAACGATTGTTTAGCTTATCTTAGTAAAAGAATGTGTAATGGATATGGGAATTAAAACAGCTTATACGCGACTAAATTTTTTTTTCTTTTTTAAAATTATTTTTCTACTTCCCTCTATAGATATTTTAATCATTTTTTTTAATTCACTTCATGAATTTTTCGAATTAGAATTTGCTTTTAAATATATTAATTTGTTTTTATTTCTAATAATAATTATTTTAACAAATCGATAAAAATTGTTCAGGTCCAATCAACTGAATAGACAAACAAGTATGATGGCAGACTTTTGTTACACGAATCCCACAATTGTACCAGGAGAATTACTATCACGTCGTGGATTCTCGATGTACAGCGGTTCCGATAACTATAATGATGATTATGGAACAAAAAAAGATCATCATTTTGGTACTTATCACGAAGCACGATCAAAATTTTGACTAAAATTAATAAGTTTGAATAACAGACTGTATACATAATTTCTGTAATTTTCAATCATATACCATACTAAAAGTTTGATTAATTTTGTATAATAAATTAAAATTACGTTATTTATCAGTTTATAAGATATAAGACTTACATAAATTTTTAATTTTCATCTGCCATAAAAATTTGTTTATATATACATAGTTATTTATATATAATATATTAAAAAACGAACAAAAAACAAAGAAATATAAAAATATAATTAATTAATATATTTTATAGAGTAATAATTAATAAAAAATAAATTTTATTTAGATATACTTTATCTATAGATGGTAATGTCTCGCAAAACAAAAAATCAACTATGTAGTACATTCAGTTACCGATAGATTTCGCTATATGCATTAGTCGCTCAGGGAAATAAGTATAAAAAAAAAAAAAGTTATTGAAAATCAGTAAAATTAAATAGAGTAGTTAATTTGCACAGCTTAATTAAAATAATTATTACTAAAAATTGTTTCTATTATTTATTTCTTGAATAATTTATTTTTTATTTTTAATTAACAGTGATTAAATTCCAAAGATATTCTCTATATAAAATAGCGTTTGTTTTGTTTGTAATGTATATTATTTATAATAAATACCATTATGTTTCTTAATTTTATTGATTATTCATTTCATTTATATTGTTTCATTATTATTGTTTCACATATCATTTATACATTGCCATTATTTTTGTTTTTATCGAAAATAACATTTCATTAAAATATAATTTCATTTCATTAAAATATATATATATATATATATATATATATATATATAAATTAAATATGTTTTTTTATTGCGATTGCAGAAATTAATATTTTCAATTTAAGATTTTTTAAAATCATGAAAAATACTGTACATGATTTTATCAAAATCGATTTTATATATAAATCATTACATATTTTATAGTTTAGGATTGAATTTTATCAATAAATTATACATTATATTTATATCCACAAATTGTATATAATCCTCTTATCGTGCATTTCCATTAATGTCCACTTAACTCTCGAACAACGTGTGTGTTCCAATAATTATTCTCTCGCGATCCGATGTCACTTCAGAAATTGAACACCACCCTGGTATTCTGATCCCTCGAGGGTCTTCGATACCTTCCACTCGAATCACAAAAAGAATCGATGAATAAAATTTGTATCGATAACTAGAGAGCGCCAAGGTAGAAAGTTCCTTATACAATTGCGATCCATTGTCATTGTCTTAATTTAAATACCAAAGAAATCAAGAAGAAAAACAAATTAAAATTTTTATTATGTTTAACAGTTACGAATATTACAAAATGATTCCAAGAAATGATTCTAGATACACGTAAGGAAAATTTACGACTTCATATATGTATAAGTGCTTGCACCAGGTACTTTGCAGATTTTTTTTTTAGAGCGGAAGTGGAGCACCTTCCGACCGATATACGCAACAACGTCAAAGTGGGTGGCGATGAGGATGTAGGTAGGGATACAGACGATGCTACGGGGAGTAGGCAATAGCATGGGGATAGGCCGTAATTGGTATAAAATCATCGAGCAAACACATCGGACAAGACAGCCTGAGGGTTGTGGGCGGTGTTACGTGCCGTTGCCTTGGTAACCATGGGGCGACTCTGCTAAAGCACCCCTTCGCCTTGATTGCGCACAGGCCCATCCGTTCATGTGTACGTATGCTATGTTACTCATGAATGTGTGTTAGTGTTGTACGCGTACTGCATGCATTTATATATGTATATATATATATACAAAAGCGCCATCTCGTCTACATGCCAGATTTACAAGACGCGTACTTACACGATTCACTTTTTCACTGTTACGCGATTCCTGTCGACCCTTTATGTATGAGAAACTATCCATAATCATTGGCATACCACCGTACACGAGATCAATTACCGTTCTTTAGAAAATAAATTCTCGAGAACATTTTATCGAGAATTTTTGTCATTACATCGTAGTTGCCGATGAAATTTATATTCTAATCAGACTTTTAAAATATATAGTTTATAGTTATTTATACAGCTATAATACGATAATTTTTATATAGAGTTGATATATAAATCTATTTTTCAATTAATTTATTGAATTAAATTATAGGTGTTTATGAATGAACATTGAAATAAAAATTATAGGAGTGTGCTATTAAGCTTTCCCCCTTAATAATAAGCGAATATCACGCCCTCTCTATTTAGATATACCTTCACATAAGTGCTTTCACCGGCACACGCAACTTGTCGAGTGTTTAGTTTAACCGCACCCCGTGAATCCGCGTTTATGCTCCTAATCAGGCAGGATTACGGTCAGTTTCGTCCTGTCCCTCGTAAACCATGCCACGAGACATATGTTATTCTTTGAGCGTTCAATCGCAACGTGCCATGTTATTCTTTCGTTTTCTAGCGAATAATACGAACAGATTAACAATAAGACTCACTGCACGCGTCAGGAAAAACGTAATCTATTTCAAACAAAAAAAAAAAAATTCTATTTACACAATAAATTTTCATTTTTAATTGCTTATATATATATATATATATATTTATAATTCTAGATTTTTATTTTATATTCGATTAAATATCTCTTTCATCGTGCATAGTTTCGTTGCTTTATCATCGGATTTCTTGCACAATGACGGCAACTTTCTGCGTTGCCACAAGATACAGGTCAAGGACGTATTAAGCCTTAGGCCTTTGAAATTTCTAACAACATAATTTTGATGATGCAAACGTTCAAAAACAGACAATTATTGTATCCCCCGTCTTGACAAAAATCAAGACAAATTCTGATTTTGAAATACATTAAAAAAAAAATAAAACGTGCGTACATATAATTTTTTTTTTCTTTTCACATTATAAATTAACTTTATCCAATATAAAAAATCTCATCAATACAATCTTCTATTCCAGATACTACTGTTGATCTTAGTTGAAAACGTTGAAACATCATCTTTTCATCGCGTTATACACTTCAAACGCTTTTCCCGACAAGATCACATCTAACAAGAAACTCCAATTTTCATAATCATTCTGTCAAAGAGTCGATCATCGAGCGTCCCTCGATTTTGGTCAAATTAAAGCGCGTTCGAGGTTCCTTTCTCCGGTCGGCTTAATGGCGGTCAGCGTCGAGACGTCGCCGTCGGGAACGGGACGCATCCCGCGACGGGTGATCGCGCAATTTTACAGGATCGTGGCTGCGTCACATTCGTTGGCCGAAGAATTTAACGAGGCGCACGCGACTCGCCCTCCTCGCCGAACCGATCACCGGTTCCAGTCACACACGCTCGATAATAGCGGCCCTCCTGAACGTGAACACCCTTATCCAATGTGTCCTCGTTACACCAATCTCACGGCTGATGTATATTCATGGACCTGTCCACGCACATCGAATTGGAATCAAGAAAATGCCAACTATCTCTCATCGTGTCTATTGAGCGGTTAGTTCGATCGTAGAATCATGGATTTTGAATAATGTACGATCAAATCTAGATTGTAGAACGGTGTTTGGTCAGGAGCTTTGGTTTTGGAAAGATAGATCTAGAAAGATGATATCGAGGATCTCGTACAAATTGACGATCTTTACGAGATTCGTGAGATTCGGGTCAACTAATTCTTTCACTTGTCAATTTTTTCTCATTTTTTTTTTTTTTTTTTTTGTACGAGAATACGAGAATCTGGAACGAGAAGGAATCAATATCTTTAGAAGAAAAATATTTTGAAGAATAAAACTCGATAGAAAAATCCATCGAGGCATGGATAATTTTTCGTACAAGAGTCTTTTGCGTGAAACTTCATCTATACAAATGGAGGCAAACCTTTTTAAATTTTTTAGTTCTCACAGTGTTGAGTCGACTTTTAAATCGCACGATCTCAATGTGATTTTGTTCTCGAATAAAAAAATTAGTGACTCGTCCCTGGAACCTGTCTTTTTAGACGTCTAATGGCGGAACGAGCGTTCAGAGAACTGATGGCGATTATAAAGAGGCACGTGTCTCTCTTCATGAGAGAGGCCCCATGCAGGCAAGCACGCGGCCACCGAAAGCTAACCCAAGAATCGTACAAGGCACAATTAATTTATTGTTCGTGCCGGTATAGTGACAATCGAGGGAACGCCGGAGAAAAACAGGATCGTTGTTTTCTTCTATTTCGTCCGAGGGGTTCAGGGAACGGATGCTGCAAGCCGATCCTCGGCTTTGTCAACGGGGATAATTGTCAACGATTTTTGCAGAATGGTACGTACTTTTTTTATAATAATATATCTCGTGCAATTTCGTTTCGTTAATAATTATAAATAAATTTCTTGTTTAAGGGAGATCTCTAAAAAAAGATATCTTTTTCTATCCGAGAATTAAACGGTTCAAGATGGATGCATAATATATAATTTATAATATTTATAAGAGATCCAACGAGACATTAAAGAGTATTTCCAGCAAGCTCGTAGTCAAGCTTAATCTCCATAAATTCGTAAGGGAGAAGAAATATATCGCACTCTTGGTTTAATGTTATCTGCTTTTCGCCGGTATCTACAGCGAATTAGATCGGAGGTAATGAGAAATTTTTCTCAAAAAAAAAAAAAAAAAAAGAAGAAAAAGAAAAGAAAAAGAATTGTCTCGTTATTTATAAAGTATCTATCGAACGGCAATAAAAAAAAAAAAAAAAATTTCACTTGCAATAAGTAAAAAGATTAAATTCAATTTCATCAATTTTTACCAGAATAAAGAACTTAATAAAACGAAAAATAAATTATAATTTTCGTAATCATCCACAACGAACAATCTCCTCTAAGAAAAAAATTTAATTGGTTTATTTTGATCTCTTGTCATTTCCAAGTTTCAATTTCAATTTTGATGAAAGAACGAACTTGACCAATTTTCTGCAACTATTGAAAGAGGAGGATAATTTGAAACGGAGAAAGAGTGAAGAAGAGTGAAAGAGGAGGAGACAGAGTGGAAGAGAGAGAGACAGAGAGATAAAGAATTTTAATAAGATAGATCATCAGAGGAAAATATCGATTATATTTTTCTCGTAATAGGTATGCAGCGCGCGCGCTATCAAGTTTTACAATATTTACAACTCTTAAAGTAATTATCGTACAACGCGGTGATCATCGTACCCATCGTTAATTTACATCGATTATAAATAATAGTGTTTCGCATTGGCAATGTGTACACGTGTATTATACATGAGATTAGCCTCGTGGCAGCTAACAGCCTCGAGCAATTGTTCATAAAGTTACTAGAAGTTCAATAATAAAATACTTCGATGATTAAAATGTAACTGGGATTGCCAGAATACTCTATGGTCGTAATTTATTAAGTAGTCGGGTTTTAGGGAATCGCGCGCGGTGTTTAAATAAATCGCGTGATTTAAGATGTAACAAAGGTGATATTTGTTCCATTTTTTTTCTCTCTCTCTCTTTTTTTTTTTCGTGTAGAAGAAGGGCGTGTGTATTTCTTTGGTCGGTTGGTACAAGCACCGGTCAGTCTTCGGGTCTATCTAAGAAATACCTAACGTATTTATATACTAAATTGTTTTAAGAGCTATGAACGACTATGCAATGTACATGTCTACAAATTAAGTATCTCAGAATGCGCTACCCATTTTTTTTTTTTTTTAGATCTTTTTCCGATTCGCTTTTCCCCCTTTCCTTTTACACGTATTACGCGCCTGTAATTTTCTTCTCCTTGTATATGTATCAGCACAGAAGAGTTCGTTTAATTAAATCGTATAAAATCTTTTTGTCCATGGACACGATTATTATTATATTCTTTCTTTTTTTTTTTTTTTTGGACTTCTTACGTTTAAAAATTTTAATTCACTCACGTCCAGCGTGTAAAATTTGCAGAAGTAAGAAATTCTTTCTTTCCTTGTTCTTCGATTCGTTTGAATTAGATTTTTGTTTTTTCATTCGTTTTTGACTTCGAATTTGACACTCGTTTAGAAATCCCCTCGAATCGAATTCGACTGTCCCGTTTATGATAATTAATTCGTGGATTCGTTAAATTAAGAAGCTCGTTAAATATTCCGAATGGAAATTTTCATGATCAAACAATACAAGATCGAGAAGGTTAGCTCTTAACTCGATAAGCTAACATTAATGAATATCATTAGCGGTTGTTGAACGATTATAACGAACGTATAAATAAAGGATATGTTAAGAGGCGTTTCGAAACGAAAATTCCATTTTCGTGGCCGATGATGAAATAATACAACGTAACTAATCGTTACAATACGAACGTAATTAATCGTTACAATATTCGTATCTTAACTTATATTAATCTCGAAGCAATTAACGCAATTACCATTGTCTATATTTCCTCGAACAAGAAAGTTAAGCATCTTGATATGTGAATAAAGAATATACGAATAACAGATCCAATGATCAACGGATCAACGAATATCGGGGTAGATCACCAGATCGATACTCTACATACGTACGACATAGCAATCCTTCGGAATCGTAAATTCTTAAACAATTACAATTTCCTTATGATATATCGACTGTACATCTATTCTCATTAGAGTCATTACGCAATTATATTCGGCAGTACTTGGCCAAACGTTTTCAACATTTTCAACGTTTTCGCCGTTTTATATATTTCACTTTACGGATATTTCCCACTTTACGTGTTCTAACTTTCTCACTTCACGAGTTCACGAGTTTTCAGTGTAATACAAGCCAGTCATTACTTTCCAGAAATCCGATGGTTTAAAGTACCAAATCTTGGCCTTCACCTGTACAACCTGTTCGTGTTCATCGTTCCCCGTAATCCTCGCATTATCACCATGTTGATCGACCACGATGTTCGACCGTTCTTCCATAAAATCGTTATCTGCCCCAGGATAGTTTCCCTCGGACGACGTATCACAATAGCACAGCGAGTCGTGGTTGCAATTGGTGTCGACGTGCTATGCGCAAGCCGCGTCTAGCTGGTGTCAGTGAACGAACTGATGATGCGCTTCGTAATGATGCTGATAATGGATCAGATCCTGTACAGAGCTTGGACTGTACTGTTGCGAGTCTACGATCACGCTTGTGTAACTGGTTGGCGTTGCTTCTTGGTGATGATGATAGGAGTGTTTGGTAGGATTGTTGTTGGTGTTGTAATGGCTCAAGTGGGGTTGATACGAAGATTCGTAATGCTGGACGTTGTTCGAGTTACTGGTGCTCGCAGCGGGGTTGTGCGCCTCGTTGTTAAGGCTACAATTAGGGTACATGATCACGCCACCGACCTCGTTTAAATTAGACGGGGCCGAGTCGGGCATGTAGTGGTGGTAGTAAGGGTGGTAACCGTGTGGCAAAGAATATACACTCAGAGGGCTCGGCAAATGATTATCCATTGCGTCTGTGCTGCAACAGGAACTCGACGAGGTAGAGTAAGGTCTGTTCTGTTGGCTACTTTGAGGGCTGTGCTGTTGCTGTTGCGGCGGTGGTTGCTGTTGTTGCGGTTGCGGTTGCGGTTGCGGTTGAGCTTGCGGCAGGCTTGCTGGAGGCGTTGGATGATCTAGTAGATGAGGGGAGTGTTGATGCTTCTGTTGAGCGTTCTGGGGACTGTGCTGTTGCAGGTTCGACGGGGAGTTGGCGTGGTGCAGAGGGTGCGGATGCTGCGCTTCTTGTTGCTGCGGTATCGTTGCTGCGAGAGAATCTTGATGTATGTCTGGAAGATACGTTTTCCCTTTTAATTGGGGAACTTTTTAAAAGAAAAAGAAAAGCAATTTGCAACTTTTCTCTCTAATTCTTTGAAATTTTTCAGGTTAAAAAGTATTCCTTCTTACCTCCATATTGGTAAAACCAGTCGGAGTTGTATTTAAGATTATCTTCGTGAGAGCTGCTGTTTACGTTCTGGGGTTGATAAGAGGGCGATAGATACTGATTGTGATTCGTCAGGTCAATATATTCCGGTCTAGGATACGTGCCACCGTTCGCGTAATCGTTATCGGGTGATTCTTTCGATCTACTTCGATACGCTGGTGAACTGGGACTGTGATTGTCCAACTCGTTGACGGTTCCGCTGGTGATCGGTGTCGTCAAAGGGGTGCTGGGCGGATTGCTTGGATTCGAGCAATACGACTTTTGCTCGCAATTCAACAGCAAATCTGTGTTCTCAGGTTTCGTCAACACGTAGTTGACCGACACGATACAGTGTGGCCGAGAGCTTCGGGAATTGTGCACAATCGTGACGTACGATTGCATCCAGACCCATCCTCCGGATTTCGTGAGAAACCTGTAGTACTTGGTTATCACTTGCCCCTTGTACAATACTGCGAACACAAAGGAGAGGAACGAAACACGTTAAAATATGATATTTCAAAACAATCGTCGTTTTTTATCTATTCAATTTTTTATATATTCAATTTCTAACGTTAATCTAATGATTTTTAGGTCTCGAGTCTTTTCGCGGGGTTATAAGAAGGAGAAGGAAAAGAAATTCTCCGTCGTGAAGTGATGGAAAGAAAATTTTCGTAAGCGTAACGTCGATCGTAGAATCCGCAGGCGCGGACATTAGTGGCATTATGTCAGGCTCCCTTCGAGTTGCGCTCGTGAAACTGCGAGTCTGTTCAAACAGTGATAGCAGTAACAGCCTCCTCCTCCTCTCTTCTACCACCCCTCGCCCCCACCATCTCTCTTCCTTCTCGTCCACCCTCACTCTCGTGTTCACGCATACACAAATACACACGTAGACACGGGCCAACCTCTCTTTTCTACACTGTTCATAGCGCCATACCGGCATTGTTCAATCAATAATGTACACTCCGTATGTATACTACGTGTGCATATACTTTAGACTTTAACGTGCTGGCATGCGGCAAAAGAAGGGTTGGAGGAGGAAGAGGAGAGAAAAAAGGGAAATGCTGTTGTATCCGCTGTTTCGCCTGAAAAGTCGATCCGCGGAGGAAAGGGAGTAAGGAAAGATCAAAGGATATTTCGTGAGCGAGGGCGTCGCCGAGTTAAGCAGCGTCAGCTGTTTTTGGCCTTGCGAGAGCCTCTTCTTCGAGCACTCTGATACCACGTCGACGCCTCTGAGACCGCTTTTCGACAGCGCGCGTCGTTGGGGGAAATAAAGCTTATTTCGATCGACGCAGCTACTGTTCTCTTCTCTCTCTTTTTTTTTTTTTTTTACGATACATCTTGTTACTTCGAAAGATTAATTCGCGATACGAAAATTTTCGCAACGGAGATCTATCGATTTAATCTTAATACATCGGAATTATACGAGTTTTGAGAAATGATTCCGAGTTTAAAAGAAACAATATCGAATTTACTTCTTAAATGTAATACAATTTTTACCAGATATTATATACGATCGAAGCAAATAACGTTAAGAAGTGGTGGAATAACAATTTCGAAGAGTAAAAATTCGCAATACTTACGCGTCCCATGCGCGTGTCTCAGCTGCATCATGTCGCATCCGTGCACGTAATGGTACAGCGTCTTCTCGATGAGGTCCGGTGGATCGTATCCGGTCAATTGTGACACGCTGCAACAGTACCGAGGAAAAGAGGGGAAAAAAAAAAAAAAACGCTACAATATCGCTGTCATACCTTCTTCCTTTCACTACAAATATTCCAGAAACGGAATATATTTATTTTTGCTCGGATTTGCCGGAGTCCCGTCGAATTCGAGGTTTACATAACCATCGTCATCCGTGGAAATCGATTTTCCGTGGACGCGATATAAAATTTCATCCCGCGTTCCATCGCCCCACCCCTCCCCCCGTATTTATACTCCGTCACGTGTTCATTTCCCAGCGTGTACACACGCGTGGATCGTGGGCGCGCGCGTGTGTGCGTGATACAGCCTTGTCCACGCGGAATATTTATTTGGCGCGAATAAAACGAAAAGGGAAAAAAGCGAAGTGAAAAAAACAAAAAAAAAAAAAAGAAGAAGAAGAAAAAAAATAAATAATAATGGGAGAAAGGAAAAAAATATCTAGCCGGGTCCGTGGTAACACGAAACTGATTTTAATGGCCGCCGACCAGGACCCTTCTCTCTCCTCTGGCGTCGAAATATCGACGACGCAACTTAACACCGCGCCGTAATTGCAGCGACAGAAATAATCTGGCCCGTTGTTTCGTCGAGTTTCTCTTTCTCTCCCCCTTCCTTACTTTTTTTTTTTCCATCCCTGCTCCAATTCAATCGAGACACCAGACAAATAAACGTGATTCATCGAAATAATTTTCTAATAGGAGAAAGTGGTTAATTTATCGGTTCTTTTTCTTTCTTTTTCTTTTTTTTTGTTTTTTTTTTTTGTCCTTACTTCGCGTCGACGAAGATCAACTTCAAGTCCAACGATGCACGAAACATGAACATGTTCTGGTACAGTTTGACTTCGGTTAGACAACGTCCCGGTAGGGAATGGCCAACTGCCAGTAGACCGACTTTTCGAATGCAGTGTCGGCCTGCACCGTCTTCGTATTCCGACCCCACTGGCCCTTCCACGACACACCTTAAGTAGCCGGAACAGTGTATCACCTGTAACGAGAGTAGGTAATCGATTCCTTTGTGAAGAGAAAAAATTTTTACTGTCTTTCGAATAAAATATTCTCCTTTTACACACACATATATATATATATATATATATATATATATATATATATATATATACATATTAGATTAATGACGAAATTCCCTGATTCTGAGATCGAAATATTCGTTGCAGGTTACAACTTCTGGCGAGGTTTCGGATTTCTAATTAACTTTTGATCAAAGACCGGAGGGGGAGGGGCAGACAGTTTAGAGGCGGGAGGGAGGATATTCAAACGAAACGTCGCAATTAAGCGATGGTACACTCGAAACGGGGGACTTATCGTTATTGTACACATATGCACGTGATTATTATTCTTAATGTTATACACCGATAGAGCGTAAGTGCGACACTCGAGCGAGTTGTCGACCGGGGGTTGAAGTGCGGATTTTCGCATTCGTGGAACGACGCCGCTCCCGCGTCGCAAATTAACAATTCCTGCTTAATTAAATGGCCGATGAAACGGGGGGGAAAAACAAAAAAAAAAAAGAGAGAGAGAGAAAAAAAAAAAGAAGAAAAAGCCTCGTTCAACGTGTCTCGAGTACATCGCGGATTTGTAAAGCAAATAGGCTTGTTCCGTATGCCCGTGTTGCATAGTCGCTTCTCGCATATGCAATTCCGCGATGCATCGGCGCGGGCCCGAGCGTGCGAGCACGGGAACACGAGGGTGACGTGAAACCGGCGGGAAAGGAAATACATAATTCGTGACGGGGTGCGTGCGGACACGCTTAATTTAGTCTCTGGAGACGAACTCGAGATACGTAGAGAGAAACGTAGTAGAGAACTGTGGTGAAGAATAGGCAATATTCGTTAATTAATTTTACAATAAAATCTACATACATTTTTCTCCTGCATACATTTATAAAGATTACGATCTTTACTGCGTATAATCTTTATTGCAATTTCGTTTTAATTAATCCACCACCGATATCAATAACGCATTTTTGAATATATTAAATACAGATATTAAGATAAATAGATATATAGATAGATATTGAATAGATAACTGGATACGGATAACTGGAATTAAGTCGCGATCAAAAGTTTTAAATCTCTATAAAATCTAATGTTTCAGATCTGATGATATCGATGATATCGATCGTTATATCGGATAATCAAAATAAAAATAACGAGATAATAAAAGATAATGAACGAAAGCTAAGCCTTTCTCTGTCTCTCTCTGTCTCTCTCTCTCTCTCTCTCTCTCTCTCTCTCTCTCTCTCTCTCTGTCTCTCTCTCTCTTTCTCTCTCTCTGTCTCTCTCTTTGCTATCGCAATAAATATAATAAATTTGTCAAAATTATTCGAGAATTATTCGAAATGGATAGCTCATGATATAATGTTCACGATTCTGAAACACAAAATCTTATTCACCGATTCGTTCGCACAATCGTTGATCCGATTCACTGTAATCGTACGGATCCGTGTAAATTGAACAAAACGCGTGCTCGCACCTCCACAAAGTCGAGCCAACTACGGGTTCGGTGCTTTGTGTGTCTAAGTGCCATACAAAAAGCCGCCTTCGTCCCCCGGAACCCCCCCTCGGGGAACCCGCGCCTTTAACAGCTTACAGGGGTTGCATTCATGACTTTGCTCAACGCCTATTGGGGTCTTTTCTGTGCGCGATTTCGTCGAGAGCCACGGTCATCATAGCGTTGCGGGCTTGAACGAGCTATTTGCCAAACATTTTCCTTCTCGAGGGCTGTCTCTTTTGCTACGGCAAGTGCAAAGTGTAACGCAGGTCCCTTCGTTACCCTTTACGAGGATACGTGTTGGATACGATCGTTTTATTCGGCAATAACATATGTGGAACATTTGGCACAATCAGACGAGATCATCGAGGAAATAGGTCAGGGTGGTTTTCCTCGTTTCGATAAATCGGTAATATTAATGATCGTAAATGGTTGAACAGTTGTCCAATATGGACCGTGTACCACACCTGGGATATATATTGATTTAATCGGATCAAAGTATCAATTTAGATAATCCGTGAATAAGGATACGCAAATCGTATTTGGTTACATCGATTCTGGTACTTGGAAAAATGGATAAAGATATTCGATATTCAAATTGTAATTGTGTTTAAAGCCAAGATTATTGGAGATACATGAAAATCGAGATTTCTTTTTTTTTTTTTTTTTTTTAAATTTTTCCACGCGTCGTGAAAATGATGCTGTGGAAAGTAAACGATAATGGAGAAAAGCGTTGCAGCAAAGGAATGTGGAAAAATTTATCGGGGAAAGTTGGAATCGAAACGAATTGGGAAACGAAATGAAATCGAGGGGGAATAAAATTGGTAGGGATAAAAACCGCGGCGGATAGATTTCCGTAAATTTCCATTTTTCCTGATATTACGTTCACGTGGCCGGTGTTTTTATTACACGAAAGGAAACGGATGCAGCCGAGCGAATTTAAGCAGCGTGCATTCTACCTGGTGGCCGTTTTCTTTTCGACTCGCGCGTGACCAGGACAATACCGTCCCTACTTAGCTCGCCACTTCTTATCTCTTATTTAGCATTTGAATTTTTATTCGTTTTATGATTTCCTGTGCAAGCAGCCTAGACGTTATGCTAATCGCTGATCGTCTCGGCGTCTTCTCCCGCGGCTTGTTTGCCGCGAATATTGCGCGATTTACGGAACCCAATAAACCGATAATCACCGCTTATTTTCATCCCTTCCACCCTCCTCCGAGATTTCATCGCGGCCGCTTCAATTATTTTAGAAAATTTCTAAGAAAGGCGGCTCCGCGCGAGATTTCATCTTGAATTATCATCGTATTTTTATCATATCGTTATTCGTAATTTTTTCCTTTTTTTTTTTTTAATGAATTTTTATTGCTTTACCTTGTATCCTTCCGTGACTAGTCCTGCACATCTCTTCGCCAAATTGCACTTCATCCTCAGAATAAAAACACGTTCCAACTCGATCTCCCCTCTCGAGTTCGCAGAAGTGAAGCTAGCCAGATCTGCTGGACTCTGTGGTAGATTTAGAACCGACAACATTTCAGCATGATCGTTCTGGTAGATGTACTCGAAGATACTGTTCCCCGTTAATTCCACCTGAACTCATAAAAATTGTTCATCGTCAGCAGATTTATTTGATATATTTGATAGAATTCTATTTTTCTGAATTTTCGTAATTCGGAATTCTCGTATTCGAAATAGCGTTGGAGGAGTAAATGGAGAAGAAAAAAAAATTATGTCTGACCTGTGCCATTCCCAAATGCACGCTTGCAGTTTCGCTTATGTACATAATTTTTCCATCGGGAGCCAGGACAAACACGAAACCGTCCAAAGCCTGAAAAGTAAGGGATATCCTCGTTTGAACGTTTAATTCAAGGAAACGCGAAGACGAAATGATGAAAAAAAAAAAAAAAAAAAAAAAAAAAAAAAAGGGAAGAATATTCTGATTCGTTAGAAGTTAGAGTTCAACGCCTCGTTACTGATCTCTTTCGTATTGAACAGAACAGTTTTCAACTCCTGGTCGCGCCCTTATCTCGTTTAATTAGAGAAGAAAACGATGTTATAAAGGTTGTCAGGAAAATGAAGTGTCTGTCTGTGGTAATACTGAGGCTAAACATGACGTTGTTTTTAATCTAACAACGTGCGTTAAACGTTACGTCGTTGTATAAGGCGCGACACAGAGAACGATGAGTGCTTACTTGCAAAATATAACTAGTCACCTCCTTGAGGGCGATTTGCAGGGAGATGTTGCCTGGCTGGGAAGCGCCCCATTCTTCACCGAGCCCTGAAAAATGATTTTCGGACCGTCAGACTTTCCTCCGAGCCAATCTTCTTAAGTGCGATCAGAAAAATTCAAATTCGTCTAAATCTGTCTTCCTTGGGATATACAAAGAAAGATTCGCTCATAAAGGTGTTCCACCATTCATTCCTCAATCAAATATACTTTTCGTTCATAAATTTTATCATTGTTTATTCTCTCTTTATTTAAAATATAAATTTATTAGAAAGATCTATCATTTTTCACCGACGAAAGTTCAAAAATAGATTTATTTTCGATCACTTTCGCTTGTTTTTGTTTTCTTTTTTTTTTTTCAACGATATGAATATAGTTCAACGAAACAAGAAGGGACCGAATAATTGCCCTTTAATCGCAACGATTAGGCAAGAGAAAGATATCCTCGGTAAGGACACACGAAGCACACATCGCAACACGGTTCGGTCTTCTTATCCCGATATACATGTTTCTAGTGACGTTTCGTACTCGACGTGTAAGTAAGCCTATAGCCAAGTATTTCGTGTCCGCGCATTAATTACGTTCACGCTCGCGCTGCCATGGTTGCAGCTGCAGGGGCGTTTTCTGCAGCCGCGCGGAATCTCGCGGAAAATGGCTTGATCGTTGCCATCTCGCCGACGTTTCCAGTGTTTCTTAACTTTATCAGATATCTCACTTATCGACGTCCCTCTCTAGAAGAAGCGACGAAATAATAATTGTTAAGTGAACGATTGTCGATAAAAAAATCGTAGAGTTATAAATCATTCGAACCGTGGCTATTATCATATTTATCACCGTGGCTATTATCATATTGCTCTTCGATGCAGAAGCGATATGGAAACTTGAATAATTTGATTTATGCAAAAAAAAAAAAAAAAAAAAAAAAAAGATTTGACGCTCGTTTACCTGTTCACCGGCTAATTTTCCACGCGAATAAAAAGGGACACCCTTGTGAAGTGTCGTAGAGTGGGGCAACGTGTCTCTTTCTTTTTTTTTTCTTTTTACCTCTCTCCCTCCTTCCCTCCCCCTCCCTCTCCTCCTCCCGCCCCCACCCCCTCCTCCCTTTCCTTTCATTTTTTTTTTCGAAGAATAAAGACGCGGCCGTATTCTAGAGGGATGCAGCCACTTGAAATTCAATTCACCGATGTCGTAAGAACGCGAGGGAAGGGGGTGAGACGGGGGAAGCCATTGTAACACTATAACAGCCCCCATGCTTTGCTTACAAAGCAGCGGGGACTAACAATGCATTAAGTGCGCAATCACATCCATCTCATCCGATACTATTTGCCCTTTGCGCGTAAGTGTCCGGTGGCTGAATTAACAAAGAATACCGTTTCAATCCGTTTACCGCTAAGTGAAGTTTATTACTTGGCACGTGGTATCGGTCCCCGCGTAAACCACTCACTCGAATAAATACTAATCAATTCGTTTCTTCGATCTCTTTTACGACGCTTATATAATATTACCACGATTATCAATTCTATAGATGGAATAAGATCGTTTTCTCGATATTAAAGTTAATGACTTTCGATATACATATATTTGTAATGGTACCGTTTGGAAACAATGCTCGCATCTTCAAGTAACTGGTCGTCAATCGAATAACGCTGGCTTTATCCATTTGCCCCGTGAGGGCCGCCGGTACGGGCAACAACTTTGCCAGCTCCAAAAATTCTTGGTTCTCCCTGTCGCGGCGGATACGCGCTGCCTTCTTGCTTTTTTCCTTCATTACGACTTCCTGCGGGCCGGACGTGCTAGCGATGGAATTGTCGTTCAGAGGATAGTGATTGTGCGAGCTCAGATCTAAGGTGTCTGAAGTGGAATTGTTGTCTGAAACAGAAAAAAAACATGGCGAGGAAAGAGTTAAAAAGGTGGGAAGAAGAAAAAAACTTTAACTTCGGACGGAAAGACTCTTTTGGTCGAGAGAAGTGAATACGAAGGAGAAAGTTGGGAAGCAAGAGAGCGTTTACGCGTAAGCGTTAAAGAAGCGTTGAGAACATGAAATTGTACGTAAACAATATGCAAGGATGAAGAAGAAGCGAAATATTGTAGCGAATAACGTCGAGACGAAAGTAAGGTTGCCAATATCGTCGTCGATCGATGTCGTCCAAGTACGACGATACAAACGCGAAAGTCATAACGATGCCGAAGCTGCTCGTTATGAGAACCGAAAGCAAAGGGAGCAAACCGTCATTAAAACGGCGGCAAGAGAGCAATCTAACGACGGTAGCTACCCATCTACCATCTAGACTTCTCACGGATGGAAATTCGCTTGAATAATGCATTTTTTTTTTCTGCTCCGTCGTTCCAGTCGCCAATTCCGCGACTTCGGTCGCAACATCTTCTCTCTACATCTCCCCTCCCTCTCCCCCTCCCCCTCCCCCTCCCCCTCCCCCTTCCCCCCCGTGAAGTGTATAACAATATATCTCAAGAGTTTGGTAAATTTAACCGCGAGCACGCTGATATTTTTCCTCTTCTTTTCTTTGCTCGCAGAAATCTTTATGTTTAAAATATTTATAAGGAAACTTATGAAAAATAATTAAGTAAACAAGCGTCTTGAAATTTTAATCCGTCACGATATAACAATAGGTGTAAGAAATTCAAATATCCTTGGTTTTAATTAGTTTCACTCGTAAAACGGCGGGAAGAAAGGAAAATAAAGAAGGTGGAGACTTCAAGAGACTAGAGGTGTATTTAACGTAGTACCTAGAAGTACCACACGTTAACATGCATAACACCATAGAAATAACTCGGTTATACCTATTCCTGCGTTCTCAGAATCAACAGTTCAAATCATTCGTTCTTTACACTCGGTACACCGTAAAATTTTCTTCTTCGTTGTGATCGTGGAACAAATAGAATCAAAAAAAGTGCAAATTTAAAGAGCCTGGTACATAAACCGAGTTTAAAATTTATCATTTAAGAACAATAACTTAAAATTGCCAATTAAAACACTGTAAAATTAAGGACACGTTTCTTCTAATAGTTTGATGATTAAAACAGATAAATTAATAAAAACATATTTTATCTGTTTCCACGATACAAAACGCTTTCGTCAAATCGTATCGTAACCATCTCTTTCGAGCCATCTTTCGAGCTTTCAATATCTTTCGAGGCTGATCCAATTCTTTTTTCTTTTTTTAAACATGTTTCGGTCAAAACATCAATACCTTTCTCGGCCTGTTTTCGCCTCCAACTACCGACATAAGGATCGCTTTCTAAAATGATACGACGACCATGACTCTCAACAGTAGGCGCCATCTTCTATCTTCGCATTGGACGCGCGCAACTCGATCAAACCCGTTTACGTTTACGTGACGACACTTGGACACTTGCAAAGATCCCGCGTGTTTCTCACGACATCCCGTTGACCACGTGCCGCCGCCGTCCACGGGCGAAAGTTTTCGCCAATCTTTTATTTAATTCCATCAAATTCCCTAAAGACACTTTCTCCCGATCGCACGCATACACAGATTTACACATATACGCACAACTTTCCCTGGATCGACATCAAAATATACATATATATATATATAATAAGAAACTCTTTTATCAGATCTAGGATGAAACGAAAAGAGAAAGAGACCAGGCCTTGAAAAATTCGATTCCTTTCACGATTCTTGAAAATATCTTGAGATGAAATTCGATAAGGGAAGCACGCACCATGACCGACGTCCTTTGCACTTGAATTACGACTAGTTCACGGGATAGTACGGCTCGTGGAGACCTCGTGTCGCGCGTTTGATCCTTTTCTCTTTCCCTCCGTCGGCGTGTCTCTCCACCTACTGCTATTCCTTCTCTTCCATCCCATCCCCAATGCTGTTTCTCGATGGGGTAGGTAAGCCGCGAGGTACCACCCTTATTTTAAGCTCCACCCTTGGAGCAGGGTCAGTCGAAAGACCCCCTCGTAGAGTACACGCACACGTGAAAACTCCCATGTCTGGGTTCCCTGCTCCAGACTGGAAAGAGAGGCAGAAAACGTGGATGAAACGGGACGATGAAGCGTGGATCGAGCGGGGAGAAAAGGAAAGGAGTTTGGGGGATGAACGAGAACCGAGGGAGACCGAGAATGGTTAGGAATGACGGGCACAACTAGACCAAAGGGTGGCAAAATTGAAAGCAAAGGCGATTGCTGGTGGCCGTACTGTTGGCCTCGACGAGATACCATAAACCCATAACCTCCCAGAACCTCCTCCGGACACAGCATCGAGATCTTTTGCTCACAACCGCTCGGAGGATTATTCCGATTACGCAACGAAATTTATGGATACTACTCTTGATTATTTTCATAAGCAGTTGACATTTCGTGGAGATAAAGGATCATCGCGCTGAAAGGATCTTTGCGCGTTCTTCTTACTTACTGCTAGATATAAAAGATATTTTATATATAGAGAATTCTTTTTAAACTATTTCAAGTATAACGTGTGTATATATATAAGCGTTTTCGATATTGGAAGGATGAAGAGAAATAAAAAATGGAAAGGAAAGGAACGATCGAAGAATAAGAGATCCTTTGACGAAGATGCAGCCTCCGGTGTTACGACGCATCTCGTCGCATTTCGAAATTCTCGCGGGCCAGCATGGTCACGTGTGCAAATGTTCCGGGACAAAAACGTCGGGAAGAGGAAGAAGGAATGACAGCAGGTTGGAACCTGCTGTTTACGACTGGGCTGTATAACCACCTTGCTATGCACCTTTTTGCCGAGAGCAAAGTGCATCCCGAAATAGGAAACATGTGTTGTCAATATGTTCCGGAAGGAAGAATGAACCTGTCCTGTTGTCTAGACTCCTCCATCCCCGTGGGCACAATGTCCACGGCCTTAAGGAACACGTGTTTCTCTTCTACCGGTGTTACCTTAGCCACCTTGGCGCGGTATTCTACATTAAACACTTTCTATACGCTTCCCTGGCTCAGGTCGACAGGTAGAAAAGATCTAATACGAAACATGTGTTTCTTCTTTCCTCTCATCATTCTGCCGCCTTTTCCTGGGATGCTAGAGATACGAAATATAACGGAAGACGAACAGAGAACGTGGCTCCGTTTGTCGAATCTCTTGCTCTCTGTGTGCTCAAGTGTAGTTGCGCTTTAACTTGGTCAAAATTATTCAGGATGTCAGCATCAGGAAAAAGCGTCAAGAAAAAGGAAATTGAAAACGTGTCGTTTCGACGAATTGCGATTTCAAAGGAATAACTTTCAATTGTTCGTCCTTTTCTAGGAGAAGAATCTTTTTCTTTCTCATCCTTTCTTTTTTTCTTTTTTTATATCCGCCTAGTCATCAATATAAATTCGTCTTCATAGATTTATTCTTGATTTTATGGGTTTCATATTATGTATACGGTCGATATCCTCGGAAGGTAGTGTCATCGAGCAGATGTTAGATTCGATTCGTACTCGAATTGTTCCATGTTCGAATCCCATTCGATTAACGGATCTTCGTCCTGATCTCATCGATGAAATTCTTAGAAAATTCGCTCGAATTGCTCTAATTCGTGGAATCCTCGTTCTATCTATCTATCGTGGAATCTATGGTAACGAGGAAGAGACGATTGAGAACCAATCGCACTTGTTGTAACAAGCAATTTGTAACATTGTACAGATATGATATTGTTACAGAAGAAATAAAATTAAACACGCGAGTTTGCTCTTCCGTGTTTCGCAACGCTGTGTGCATCTGTTCTGCGTTTTTATACAAACAAAAACTCAAACACTTCTCTTCTTCCTTCTATCAAAATCGGGACACCGATGACACTTTTTTTTTTTTTCCATCGAACTACAAACGTTTCCATAAAAAAATTTAAAAATTATTTAAAAATCATTTCTCGTCTCGTATTTATAAAATGATGAACGCGAGATATGCGGAATGCTCGCATCTACGTAAATACGAAACACAGCACACGAAAAAACATATAAGAATATGAAACGTTTCGAGAATCCAATATTCGTATTCCATTTCCATTTCCCATTGGAAAACGGAGTTTCATCCCAAGTGACACCTTTATTATCTTCTGAAACGTAGTCCTCCGTATCCGGAGGAACATCTCGAAAATCGGAAGATTTCCCCAAAGAAATATCGAGGAACTGGATCCTCTTAGAAAACAGGAATCGTGGCGGGATCGTGACACCTCAATGCGAGCACAGACCTAGCCGACCATCAGAATTAATGAATTCCTTCGCCCTTTGTACTCTCGAACCCACTCGAATCGATTCGATTTCGTTCTGGAGCGTATCCAGCGGCGCGATACTAGGTCAGCCTAGTGAATTGCCATCACGGAACGATTCACGATCAACGATACGGCCCGAGTATTCGTGTATACGCGCGGGGATGTACACAGGAAACACTGGGCTGGCCCCTGTCCGTTCGTGACCGTCTCAATGCATTTTGGAGGGCGCGCGAGCCTGCAACTCAGCCACGGCTTAACATCGGCTCACCTACATTCTCGTCGTCGAATATATATATATATATATATATATATGCGAGGCACGACCATCCCTGGCTCGCCTTTTCCTTGCCGTTTACACCCCCATCGTAACATTCCACCCCGAGAACGCCCTCGTGTTCGACGAAAAGACAAGGGGGGAGGTTTGGTACACGAGGCGCGATTCATCATCCCCCTTTGGCCAGGACAGAAAATCCATTCACCGATCCCACGGGCACAACGGAACGGGAGTGTGCTCGCGCATTTTAACTATCCCAGCGAAGGTTGACTGGCCCACGCCGTTGCTCTAGGTCGTAGACAGAGCTTGATTTGTTGGTGGATCGAGCCAGCCAGGACTCGCCAGATTTCGCCACGATTTTTTCGCCTTCGTGTGAATATTCCAAGACGTGGAA